AACAGATGGGCAGATTCAGTCTGCGTGCGGGAGGGGGCAGACAGAGGATGGAGCAGGCCGAGGAAGGGTGGGAGGAGGTGCTGTGGGCAAGACCTGTTTCATGAGGGACTGTTCTGGTGGGGTGTGATGGCCTGAGGTGAGAGTGAGTGGGTGTGCTTGAGGAACAGCCGAGGAGAACGGCAGGGTCAGGAGCTGAAGGAGAGAAGGGGGAGAGGGAGCCAGGATCGTGAGAAGTACCGGATGGTTCTGGGAGGCAGTTCTGCTGCTGTGCTGAGAATCGGGGTCAGGAGGCCCCTGGGAGACCAGGGAGGGGCCCCAAGTGATGGAAATGGAGTGGATGGTGACAAGGACCAGAGAGGGTCCCAAGTGATGGGGACAGAGAGGATAGTGACAAGGACCAGAGACAGTCCCCAAGTGATGAGGACAGAATAGATGGTAACAAGGAGTGGAAAAGGCCCCCAAGTGATGGGGACAGAGGTGGACAGCAATGGGGACAGAGTGGATGGTGAGAGGGACCAGAGACAGTCCCCAAGTGATGGGGACTAAGTAGACTGATGGGGACAGAGTGGATGGTAACAAGGACTGGAGAGGGGTCCCCCGAGTGATAGGGACAGAGTGGACCGCGATAAGGACCAGAGAGGTGCCCCGAGTGATGGGGACAGAGTGACTGGTGACAAGGACCAGAGGGGGTTCCCATGTGATGGGGGCAGAGTGGATAATGATATAGATCAGGAGCGGGGGAGTGTCAGTGAGAGTGAGAAGTCTGGGGTGATCCCAGGATGCCTGATTCTCTGGGTAAAAGTGTGGGCCGGTACTGAGGTACGTAAGGCCGGGGCAGTTGGGGGGCTGCTGTGTGTCTGTGAGGTGCCTGCCATTTGAGGCTCTGGTAATCAGTACCCAGGTGGGGCTGTGTGTGGATGCTCAGATGGATGTGTCAGCCACGCAGGATGGTTTGTCATGGTGTGGGAGGCAGTTCAAACTCTGCCTGACGAGGCCAGCAGGGCACGGGGAGAGAGGAGGTGCCAGAAGAGAGAGAGAAAGCTGGGCTTGTGCTGGGTGGTTTAGAGCAGCACAGTCGGCACATGGCGGCTTGGCGGCCAAAGCCAGCCTGGCTCAGCGTGATTGGTTGTGATTTTTACAGTTTCAAAGGATTAAATTTTTTAAACTATTTCATATTGTGATACTATTCACATAACATAAAATTCATCATCATCAGTTTAAGGTGTTAGTATATTCACAATACTGTGCAACCATCACTACTAATTCCAGAACATTAACGTCACCCCAAAATCAAACCCTGACCCTCCTAATTCTCCTCTCCCCCTAGCCCCTGGCAACCATGAGTCTGCTTCCTATCTCTAGGGATTTGCCTGTTCTGGACATTTCATATCAGTGGGGTCATACACCGTGTGGCCGTTGGTGTCTGGCTTGTCATGTCACTCAGCATCGTGTTTTCCGGGGTCATTCACATCGGAGCCAGTATCAGTGCTTCCTTTCTCAAGACTGAATCATTCTCCAGTGTGTGGCGGGACCACATTTCGCATGCCCACTCATCTGTTGATGGATGTTTGGTCTATTTCCACCTTTCGGCTGTTGTGCGTAGTGCTGCAGCGAACATTCATATATGAGGATGTGTTGGAACACCTGTTTTTCTTTTTTTTTGAGACAGGGTCTCGCTGTGTCACCCAGGCTAGAGTGCAGTGGCGGGGTCTCAACTCACTGCAACCTCTGCCTCCCAGGTTCAAGGGATTCTCCTGCCTCAGCCTCCCAAGTAGCCAGAATTACAAGCTCCTGCCACCACACCTGGCTAATTTTTTTGCGTTTTTAGTAGAGATGGGGTTTCACCGTGTTGGCCAGGCTGGTCTCGAACTCCTGACCTTGTGATCCGCCCACCTTGGCCTCCCAAAGTGTTGGGATTACAGGCATGAGCCATCGCACCTGGCCCCTTTTTTTTTTTTTTTTTTTGAGATGGAGTCTGGCTCTGTCACCCAGGCTGGAGTGCAGTGGCCAGATCTCAGCTCACTGCAAGCTCCGCCTCCCGGGTTTACGCCATTCTCCTGCCTCAGCCTCCCCAGTAGCTGGGACTACGGGCGCCCGCCACCAAGCCCGGCCAATTTTTTTGTATTTTTAGTAGAGACGGGGTTTCACCGTGTTTGCCAGGATGGTCTCGATCTCCTGACCTCGTGATCCGCCCGTCTCGGCCTCCCAAAGTGCTGGGATTACAGGCTTGAGCCACCGCGCCTGGTTTTTTTTTGTTTGTTTGTTTGTTTTGAGATGGAGTTTTGCTCTTGTTGCCCAGGCTGGAGTACAGTGGTGCATTCTTGGCCTCCTGGGTTCAAGCAGTTCTTCAGCCTCCCAAGTAGCTGAGACTACAGGTGTGCACCACCACACCTGGCTAATGTTTGTATTTGTAGTGGAGACGGGGTTTTGCCATGTTGGCCAGGCTGGTCTCAAACTCCTGACTTCAAATGATCTGTCCACCTCAACCTCCTAAAGTGCTAGAATTACAGGTGTGAGCCACTGCAGCTGGCCTGAGCACCTGTTTTCAGTTCTCTTGGGTATAGACCTGGGAGTGGGATTACTGGGTCATATGGTAGTAATAATTCCATGGTCAACCTGTTGAGGGAACTGCCACACTGTCCCCCGCAGTGGCTGTACCATCCCATCTGGCTCTTTTTGCCAAGCCCTGGTCTAGAGCGTGGTTCCCTATCTTGTCGCAGTGGCACACTTTAGGGGATCAGATGCATGCGGAGCTTGGAAATGCCTCCTTGGAGTGGTGGGGGGCTCGCAGGGAGCCTACAGCTGCCTCTGAAACAGACCTTGGCTCCATGCTGCTTCCCTACATACCCACACCCTGCGTGTTCCAACCCCTTCTGCTGTCAAACCTGTGCACCGTGGAGAAACAGACGCAGCCCCCTGTGAGCCTGAGCAAAGAGAATCCTCGCGGACATCCCCGGAGAATCTTAGAATCCTGCGACTGACTGGGCGCAGTGGTTTACGCCTGTAATCTCAGCACTTTGGAGGCCAAGGTGGGCAGATCACTTGAGGTCAGGAGTTCGAGACCAGCCTGGCCAACATGGTGAAACCCCATCTCTGCTAAAAATACAAAATTTAGCCAGGCGTGGTCGCACAGCGCCTGTGATCCCACCTATGCAGGAGAATCACTCGAACCTGGGAGACAAAGGTTGCAGTGAGCTGGGATCGTGCCACTGCACTCCAGCCTGGGAGACAGAGCAAGACTCCATCTCAAAACAAGAAGAACAAATCCCGCCACGGAGGAGAAATTGTTTTAGAATCGCGGCTGCTCTGCGTCTTGTATTTCTGCTTTTCTCAGCTGAGACTTTCTACAATTGTCTCTGTACCCATTGTTCTGGGCAGAATTGTGTCATCCTCGCACCCCACATTCTACCCCAAATTCATGTATTTTAGCCCTGGCCCCCAGCACCTCAGAACGTGACTGCATTTGGAGATGGAGCCTTTGAAGAGGTGATTTAAATGAGGCCATTAGGGTGGGCCCTAATCCAGTCTGATTGGTGTTCTTATAAGAAGAGGAGATTGGAACACACATCAGGGACATGCGTGCACAGAGAGACGACCACATGAGGACACAGACAGTGGCCGTCCGCAAGCCAAGGAGGGAGGCCTCAGAAAACCAAACCTCCTGGCACCTTGACCTTGGCCTCCTGGCCTGCAGAACTGAGAACTACTGACTTCTGTTGCTTCAGCCAGTCTGGGCTACCACATTGTGGCAGCCTGAGCTGATGAATGCACTCACCCCGCTGATGGTGCCTGTGCCCAGCAGAGGTACCTGTTTCAGTATAAGACAGCAGTGATGTGCCTGGCCTTGCCTGTCCCAGTAGATCCTCAGGGTCAGCGTTTGGGTCACATGCAGTGTTGGGCACCGCAGGGCAGTGGAAACAGTGAAGTCTGTGTGTCCCTTCATCCGTTCACTTTATCATCCCCAACGGGGTGAAGCCCACTCCGTTCCTCACACTGTTCCAGGCACTGAGGATACAGCCCTGATCAAAACCCCCGCCCTCGTGGAGTCCACCATCTAGTCAGGGACTGGCAGACAATACAATGAGTAAAACACATGATCCGTAAGGTAGCGACAGGGGCCACGGAGAAAAACGCAGGAGTGCTGGGAGGTGGCGTCATTTTACTTTGGTGAAAGAGCGTTCTCTGGGACTCACCACGCAGGGGTTGTCCAAGCAAAAACCTCAGCCAGGCTGGAGGAATCCTGACTGGCTGGAGACCCAGCCCTTGTGTGCTGGGGATAGTGCAGCATAATTCTGGTTTAGAAACAACAGCTCCTCCTTTGGGGGCGTGGTCCTGTCCCACCAGAACATGGGAGGCAAGCTTGTTTCTATTTTTGCTCATATCGGCTGCAAAGTACACGCATAGAGGGCATTCTTGGTGGGTGCTCAGGGCCTGTCTTTTCTCCCAAGCAACCGATGCACCTCGTTGCGATTGGCCTGGGGCTTAGCACCAAAAATGTCATGTCCCTTGAAGTCCCCCACAACCTGGACGGTGGGTCGCCTCTAACCTCCAGGGTCCCCACCTTATGTATCCTACCTTGGCATCACTGTTGGCAGCAGGTGCCTTCCCACGTGAAGGCAATCTTGCTGAAACAGATTGCAGAAGGCGTGGGAGACTTCTCTATTACACGCAGCCTAGCACTTGGCGCCGCAGAGGCTTCAACATCCACTTTGTACATTTCTCCTGAATGTGAAGTTTTCCAAATGGAAGGTGCTCATTGAACTTGTAGTGTTCTTTGAGTAGATGGGTAAGGATCGGGCGGAGGGGAACTGGGGAGACTCACCTGTGCACCCCGCTCTGCTTGCCTCCGGGGTCTCAGAAGTAACCTTTCCCTGTCTCTAATAAAACCTGGCTCCGTGCTGAGTTTTTTCCGTTCCTGTGCAGACAGTGGCTGGGCCTGGCGTTTTTCACAATCTGTTTCTGGCGTCGGGCCTGGCAGTAACTCATTGTCGCCTTGTCAGGAGAATTCGCACAACCACGGGGACGGTGCAGAGGACTTCAAGCAGCAGGTGCCGTATAAAGAGGACAAACCCCAGGTACCCCTGGAGTCCGATTCCGTGGAATTCAACAACGCCATCAGCTACGTGAATAAGATTAAGACCCGCTTCCTAGACCACCCGGAAATCTACAGGTCGTTCCTGGAGATCCTGCACACGTACCAGGTAAGAGCTCAGATTACAATTCCTTGTGGGTTTTGGATTTCATCCAGTTTGAGGCCCTGCAGATATCTGACAGATTTTCCTGTCAGAATTCATAAAATCCTGTGAAATTCTAATTAGTTGCGGGCTTTTTTGTTTGTTTTTTCTTAGACAGAGCCTGGCTCTGTTGCCTAGGCTGGAGTGCAGTGGCACAGACTCGGCTCACTGCAGCCTCTACCTCCTGGGCTCAAGCCATCCTCCAACCCCAGCCTCCCAAGTAGCGGAGGCTACCTGGGGCTAGAACATGGGCGCGCGTCACCACACCTAGCTAATTTTTGTATTTTCTGTAGAGACAGGGTTTTGCCATGTTGCCCAGGCTGGTCACGAACTCCTGAGCTCAGACAGTCCATCCACCTCAGCCTCCCAAAGTGCTGGGATTACAGGTGAGAGCCACCGTGCCCAGTCACCTTTGTTTGTTTGTTTGTTTGAGACAGGGTCTTGCTCTGTCACCCAGGTTGGAGTGCAGTGGTGTGATAATAGCTCACTGCAGCCTCGACCTCCGGGGCTCAAGCAATCCTCCTGCCTCAGCCCTCCAAGTAGCTGGGACTACAGGTGTGCATCGCCACACCTGGCCAAGACCGTCTTTTTATCAGATGACTTTGTTATTGCTTAGGCAATATGACCACCCTTTACTTTGCTGATGACAACTGGGCTCGGCACCAGGAACTGGGGTTACAGAGACAAATGGCTGCTCCTGCTTAGCTGTTCATTGCAGTGATGGGAAGAAACTCAGAGGTGGATTGGGGTGGAAAAGAAAGGATGTGGGCAGGAGAGGTGAGTCAGGATTAACATGGTTCCCAGCCCGGTTCCCATCCCGTCCGGGGCCAGGGAGCGGACGGTCAGGTTGAATCTTGACAGATCAGTCGGAACCAGTAGGCAGGTTAGCCTGGAGGAAGGGTGGACGTTCTCGGTGCCAGGAACGGCCTGTGCAGAGGTCCGGGGGCCGGAGCAGACAGCGGCATCGGGGCGTCTGCAGGGGACTTGGGCAGTGCAGGTGGGCTGGTGGCGAGGGACATCTGTGTCATGAGTGGGGCTTAGACGTCCTCTTCACCCAGACATGGAGTCTCTAACACTTGTAATTTTTTTTAGCAGCAGAACCCATTTTTTTTTCTTTTTTTAAATGGAGTCTTGCTGTCACCCAGGCTGGAGTGCAGTGGCTCAATCTCAGCTCACTGCAACCTCAGCCCCCTAGGTTCAAACGATTCTCCTGCCTCAGCCTCCTAAGCAGCTGGGACTACAGGCCTGGGCCACCACGCCTGGCTAATTAGCAGAAATCTTTTAAAATGATATCTGGGTGGCCTTGACATGTCGAGTAAAGAAATGGGATTCTTTTCAGCTTAAGTGTTTAAGATCAGATGGATAGAATTTGCACGCTGGGAACTCCAAGGCATTTGCTGTCCACCGTGCCGGCATCATCATGGGCCTTAGTGTCTGTGAGAGGCTGGTACAGCCCTAAGAACGCTTGCTTGTCATGGATGAGTGGTTGCCGGTGGCTGCTGTGAGCGTCTCGTCTGTGTGGAGGGATGTGCTTGTGATCGTAGAATCCATGGGCCCCTCCCAGGCTTCATGGGCTCATCACATTTCGGAAGGCGCAGGAGAGCAGTCTGTGCAGTGGCACGGGAGAGCAGTGACTGTTCTGTGGCACGGGAAGGGGCAGGTTAGAGACGCCAGAGATGCATTTAGACGAGGTCACAGTGAGGGGCTGCCACAGACTCCTTCAGAGGGAGTGCCATGGGAAGGACAGTGCAGTATCCCGGAACCCAAACCAGGCTGCTGGGAGTTGGTTGAGAATGCAGACACCTGGGCTGCCATGCAGGATTCCCATTCATCAGGGCCCTCCTGGCATCGGCAGTTTCTTTGTTTTTTTTTTTTTTTCGAGACTGGGTCTCACGGTTGCCCAGGCTGGAGTGCAGCAGCATCTTCACGGCTCACTGCAGCCTCTACTTCTCCGGGCTCAAGCAACCCTCCCACCTCAGCCTCCTGAGTGACCGGGACTACAGGCGCTCACCACCACACCTGGCTAATGTTTGTATTTTTTGAGGAGATGGAGTTTCACCATGTTGCCCAGGTGGGTCTTGAACTCCTGGCCTCAAGTGATCCACCCACCTCGGCCTTCTAAAGTACTGGGATTACAGGCATGGGCCACTGCATCCAGCTGGATGGTATCTGCATTTTAAACCAGGCCCCTGGTGACTCCAGCCTCAGGTTGTCTATTTTTTTTAAATATAAGTCTGAATTGTTGTGTAAATTATCCTGGTTTTAGAATGTTGGTTCAGATATTTCAGGGATACTGTTAGAACCAAACCAGGCAGCTCTAGGGTCCATCTGGCCATGTGTCACTTACTGTTTCTCCATCTTTGTGGGATTTTCCTTCAGACTTTATCTCTGCCACCTTCTCCCTTGGGGTTCTTATCCATAAAATGGCCACAGAACTGGTGGTGCCAACAAGCCTGGGTTCATTGAGGTTAACTGAGCAACAAATTCAGGCACAAGCCTGTCTCAGGTCACCCCTTGGTAACTGTCACCCATTATACGGCCACGTACGCATGTCCTGTGTGTGCTGGGGCGAACGGTTAGTTCTACCCTCACATAAGTGGGTCCCTAAAAATGAGCTCACTCTGCACAGTTGCAGAGTGTCATGGGAACTGCAGGGTTCGTGGGGAAACAGACTCAGGGTATGACATTCAAAAACTTCCTCAGTGACACTTAAAAAAAGATAGGCACCGACTCTAAACAGCAGCACCGTTGTGTGCGTGTTAAGTGTCTAGGAATTACATGAATGCTACAGCAAATAGGGTACTGACCTTGGAAGAGACTTGAGGTTGGTTTGTGGATGTGGTGGCAGCCTGTGAATTATGTGAAGGCCAGGAGGAGGATATCTGAAATCAGACAGGTCATCATGGCCTCAGATGGGGACAGGGCTGGCCCCTAACACAGGGGAACACAACACTGAGAGAGCGCCCGGACATGGGGGGGGGGGTGCTGGCGTGGTTTTGCATACTCCCACGGGGTCCTGGTCAGCCAGGAGCAGTGTCTGCATTCACCTGGTGTTTCTCCTGCACAAAATAGAAGAGAAGCAAACACAAAATTCATCTCATGTTCAAATTATTCCCAGTACTTGTATCTCATTTAGACAGACGTCTTGTTCAAAATAAGCATTCTAGCAGAACTGACTCTCTGCAGCATGAATTTCCACAAACTGCTTCTCTAAGTTGAGGGTGTACTATGCATTCATAGAGATCACTAAATTTCTCTCTGAAAGGTGGTACAAGTTTATCTTTCTGCCTTGGGTGTTTGATTGATTGTTTTTCTGAGATGGAGTCTCACTCTGTCACCCAGGCTGGAGTGCACTGGCGCAATCTCGGCTCACTGCAGCCTCCACCTCCCAGGCTCAAGCGATTCTCCTGCTTCAGCCTCCCAAGTAGCTGGGACTACAGGCACACGCCACCACACCTGGGTTATTTTTGTGTTTTTAGTAGAGGTAGGATTTCACCGTGTTGGCCAGGCTGGTCTTGAACTCCTGACCTCAGGTGATCCGCCTGCCTCGGCCTCCCAAAGTGCTGGGATTACAAGCGTGAGCCACTGCACCTGGTCTTGCCTTCCATGTTTGAGAGCACCAGTTCCCCACACCCTCATCGGAAATCCCAGCCTCTTCTGTCTGCGTAGTCAGACGAGCAGAAGATGGCTGTGGCACTGTTTTAAATTGTTTCTTTAAACATCAGTCAATTCGGTCATTGTTTCTTTTCTTCTTTATTCATTTTAGATAAGATCTTGCTCTGTTGCCCAGGCTGGAGTACGCACTGTCGTGGTCATAGCTTACTGCAGCCTTGAGGTCATGGGCCTAAGCAATCCTCTTGCCTCAGCCTCCCAAGTAACTAGGACTACAGGAGGGTGTCACTATGCCTACATAATGTTTAAATTTTTTTTTTTTAATCATTTCTCAGCCTTTGGGCTAAGATCAAGTGTAAAATTTTTTGTAGAGATAGGGTCTCACTGTATTGCCCAGGCTGGCCTTGAACTCCTGGACTGAAGCCAGTCTCCTGCCTCAGCCTCCCAAAGTGCTGGGATTACAGGCATGAGCCATCATGCCCAGCCTAAATTGTTTCTTTAAACTTCAGTCAATGTGGTCGTTGTTCTGTCTGTATGCAGATGGATCATTTCTATTTATTATCTGAACTGAGTGGCCTTTGCTCATTTTTAAGTTTTGCTTTTTAGTGGCTTTTGATGACTTTTTGGAAGGGTGGTGTTTTTTTCCCCTGCAGTTTAGGTGCCACTGGTGCCAAGATTTAAAACTTGCTTCCCTTCCCACAGGCTGCAGTGGGCGCAGAGGGGCGGGAGGTGCCAGCGCAGGGACTCCTCCTGCTTTGCATCCGTGGAGTGGGACACTGGAAGCCACGCCGTATTATCTGGGAGGCCCCGGCTCCACTGCCTCTTGTTCTGTGACACTCTTGGGTGTAAAATTGATAAGGACATATTTCTAACAGCCATCTTGGTTTTGCTGGCCCATTTCTGCCTTCCAGCCTGGATTCCCTTTGGTCCTCTTGTTGCTTTAAGCTCTGGATCAGGCCATTTTCCTTGGGTCTCAGTGACTCTGGGCCAATAGGTGCCTCGGCTTGGAAGTCCCTTCCCTTCACGGCCCAGCGCTCCCCCGTTCCACACTCCCCATTTCCCTTCGGAAGGCCTGGGGTTCGCCCCTGACCTTGTACTTCCCCAGCCCACCCCTGATTCCAGCCAGCCTCACACCTCCCTGCCTCCTCTGCTCGTGGACACTGCTGGGTGTCCCTCCTCGAGACCCCCCCATACTCCTGGACAGGCCCTGCCCATGGCTGGGGCTCAGGCCATGCTGGGCAGCAAGATGCACACGTGAACAGACAGTCCTGTGGGCTCCTCTGGCAGGTGCTCTTTCCTGAGCGTCATCCCGTCCCCTTCACAGAGGGCTGCCTGAGTGTCCCAGCCCAGGGCATAGCACTCCTTGGCTAATGACTTGTTTTCCCTTTCCTGAAAACTGGCAGAAGGAGCAGCTGAACACGAGGGGCCGACCGTTCCGAGGCATGTCCGAAGAGGAGGTGTTCACCGAGGTGGCCAACCTCTTCCGGGGCCAGGAGGACCTGCTCTCCGAGTTTGGACAATTCCTGCCCGAAGCCAAGCGGTCTCTGGTGAGTGCGGAGAGCCCCTGCCTAGCCTCAGGGGCCTCAGCGAGGAGGGAGGGCTCCAGCCAGCTTGGCCCAGGGCTGGGCCAGGCCCATCCACCCTCCAGGCCACAGTTGGGGTCCCCCAGAAGCTACGCAGGTTGCAATACCCAGGGGTTCCTCACTGTAGGCGCCACCTGCCCAGCAAGCTCGTAAACGATTCTCCAAGGTGCTTCTCTGTACAGACAATACCCAGGTCTTGGGGTGGTTTGGGAAGCAGAGAGCATCTTCCAATGGAGATGATGGGCCCAGGGGTTCCACCTTCTGTGCCTGCTCTGCAGAGCCCCACCCTGCCTGGGACCCCAGCCCTGTGGGAAGGTGCAGGAGGGCTGGGTCCCCCACCATCGCTTCCCCTGTGAGACTGATCTGGAGCTCCAGCACGTTGGATCTGGAAGAGCCAGTAGCGGGGGTGGCCTGTGGCCTGGCCCTGACCATGGTGGTAGAGAGCAGAGATGGGCGAGGAGGGGTCTTAGACAGGGAGGCTCAGGGCTCACCCTGCACGGTCAGCCTTTCTCCCCTGCCTGTGGCCTGAAGCTGCCAGGGCTGCCTGTTCCAGTTCCCCTTTTTTCCCCCACTGTGAACATAAGACTTTTAAAAAAATTGAAGTGACATTTATGTAACATGAAGTTCACCTTTGAAAGTGAACAATCCGACCGGGCGCGGTGGCTGAAGCCTGTAATCCCAGCACTTTGGGAGGCCGAGACGGGTGGATCACAAGGTCAGGAGATCGAGACCATCCTGGCTAACCCAGTGAAACCCCGTCTCCACTAAAAAATACAAAAAACTAGCCGGGCGAGGTGGCAGGTGCCTGTAGTCCCAGCTACTCGGGAGGCTGAGGCAGGAGAATGGTGTGAACCCAGGAGGCGGAGCTTGCAGTGAGCTGAGATCCGGTCACTGCACTCCAGTTTGGGCGATAGAGCGAGACTCCGTCTCCAAAAAAAAAGAAAGTGAACAATCCATGGCATGTAGTACATCCTCAGTGTTGTACAACCTTCACCACTACCGAGTTCTAGAACATTTTCGTCCCCTTGAAAGGAGACCCCGTCTCCATCAGCAGCCACCCCTTTCCCCTCCCCCAGCTCCTGGCAACTGCCCATGTGCTTCCTGTCTCTGTGAATTTGATTTGCCCATTCTGGACATTTCAGATTGGTGGAATATCACCCTATGTGGCCTTTGTGTCTGGCTTCTCTCACTCAGCATCATGTTTTCAAGGTTCATCCATGTATTACCATGGTTCAGTGCTCATTCCTTTTTCTGGCTGAATCATACTCTGTTAGATGGATGAGCCACATTCTGTTTATCCATATTCTGTTGATGGACATTTGGGTTGTGTCTACCTTTTGGCTGTTGTGAACAGTGCCGCCATCAACATTCATTACAAGGATTTGTTTGAACACCTGTTTTCAGTTCTTTTGGGTAGACACCTAGGAGTGGAATTGCTGGGTCACATGGTAATTCTGTGTTTGACTTTTTGAAGAGCCTCCAAACTGTTTTCTTCAGTGACCGCACCATTTTACATTCCCATCAGCAATGGACTGCGGTTTCTGTCTCTCCACATCTTGGCCAACATTTGTTCTTTTCCAGGTTTTTTTCTTTTTTTGCCTTTTTTTTTTTAGTAGCCATTAGTGTGTGAAGTTTTATTGCATTAAAGTTTGTTTGTTTTTATTTTTTGAGACAAGCTCTCTCTCTGTCACCCAGGCTGGAGTGCAGTGGCATAATTGATCACTGTTCACTGCAACCTCCATCTCCCAGGCTCAGGTGATCCTCCCACCTCAGGCTCCTGAGTAGCTGGGACTACAGGCACCATCACGATGCCAGGCCAATTTTTGTATTTTTTTGTTGAGACAGGGATTTGCCATGTTGCCCAGACTGGTCTCGAGCTCCTGGCCTCAAGCAGTCCACCTGCCTCAGTCTCCCAAAGTGCTGGGATTACAGGGGTGAGCCACTGCGCCCGGCCTGCTTTTATTTTTTAATTGTTGAGACAGGGTCTCACAGATTTGCCCAGGTTGGTCTCAGACTCCTGAGACCTCAAGCAATCCTCCCACCTCGGCCTCCCAAAGTGTTAGGATTACAGGCATGTGCCATTGTGCCCAGTCCATGGTTTCTTTAAGTGGCATTTATGCAGGGTGCCTGGCTAGCTCAGTCAGTAGAGCATGAGACTCTTAAATAACATTTGTTACCAATTTAAGATTTTTAGTGTGTATTGGGTTCTTAGAGCCATCTTGTGTATTTAGAAAGATGGGATCAACTTTTTAAAATTATTAAAAGCACTGCAGCATCTGTTGCATGAAGTATAATCTTTATGTTAACTTTTGGATGTATATTAAAACTGTAGGAAAAAGAAACCAAGATGAAATTTGGCATTGCCCTAATTAAATTTGACTGGCCTGGATCAGAGGTTGGCAAACCTTTTCTACAAAGGGCCAGATAGTAAATACCACAGGCTTTGCAGGCCAGCTGATCTCTGTGTAAAGACTCACCTCTGCCCTAGTAGCTTGAAAGCAGTCATGGAATATATATGTCAATGACTGGGCAGGGCTGTGTGACAATAAAACTTTATTTACAAAATGAATGGGTGTAGCTGGGTACCAACAAAACTTTATTTACAAAATGAATGGGCATGACTGGGTACCAGTAACTCTTTACAAAAGGAATGGGTGTGGCTAGGTGCTGATAAAATTTTATTTATGAAAACACGCCCTGTGTTAATTTGCCATTCCCTAGCCTAGGTGGTCTTTGGGGGTCCATCTAGCTCAGATGTTCACATTATTGGGAGATTAACTGAAAAGCAAGAACCATGTGAACTGTTGGGGAAGATCTGCTATACCTGCTTGGTGAACTTGACTGGACGCGTGGCAGGTTTCCCCTCCAGGTCCCCTGTTCTTGTTCAGCATTTGTCATATGGTTGCCCAGCTGCATCTTTTGGGAATCAGTTTGCACCTGTTCCAGCATCCACAAAAAATTGCCACATGTGGTGGCTCGTGCCTGTAATCCCAGCTACTCGAAAGGCTGAGGCAAGAGAATTACTTGAACCCAGGAGACAGAGGTTGCAGTGAGCTGAGATCATACCACTGCACTCTAGCCTGGGTGACAGAGCAAGACTCCGTCTCAAAAAAAAAAAAAAGATGTACCAGTGGAGAATTGTTGTGTAGATGCCAAAGTCTCCACTTACAGCTCTCGAAATAACCTTGAGTTTTGGGTAATTATTCCCCCCAAATAAGTTTAATTCTTCTGAGTCTTGGCTGTGGCTAAATAGTAAGTCTTTATTAGTAGTAGTAGTATTGTGGCTAAATAATGTCTTTATTATTATTGTAAAAACAGTATACACTAATGAAAAAATAAGTATTAGCAGGAGTATCAAATTTTTAATGCAAACTTCCTCTCCCTTGACTCAGTTCTGTTCAGAGGTTAGCACTTCTAAGTGTCTTATATCTTTCCAGAAATTTCCTCTGCATGTGCAACAAATACTTTTTACAAAGTAACACACGACATCCTGTTTGTTCTGCCCCTTGGCTTTTTGGGTTTTTTCCTTATTATTATTTTTTGTTGTTGTTGTTGTTGTTTGTTTTATTTCAGGTATGCCTGTCTCTAACAGCAGCCCAGAGCCAGCTCATGGTATCTGATTGCTGCTGGCTGATTTGTTCAGATGCACCATGACTTGTCCACCTCACCCACATTTTAGGTCTTTAGAGGTGTCTTTTTGTGCCGGTCCTGTGGTGGCAGGGGAAGGGGGAGTACGATGGAGGTGACCGCAGTAGCACAGAACCTTGTAGGGCCTCTCCAGCCCTGCCCACATCCTGCAGAAAAGCTGCGGTCTGTCCATCGTCCCCTGCCCGTCCAGCCTTCCAGTATGTTCATAATAGACTGTTGCAAAACAGTTCTTTGTAATGTCATTGGCACCCTGTAGGCACCCTTCTCGGGACAAGCATCCTTGACCTGTTAGCCGATGGCTGGTGTAGAGCCTGGGAGGCAGGCCCCAAACCAGTCACGAGCCCCACTCTGCTCCCAGCAAGTGACGACATCATCCCCCAGAAATGCTTTCTCATTCATAGAAAAGACTTCAAAACCTGGCCCCAAGGCCCCCACCAGTGCCCTGGCGAAAATCAGCCACTTCCCCTTGCTGCCTGTTTCTCTCACTGCACCTTGTGTTTCTGTGGCACTGGCATGCACGCGGCGAGGTGCCCCACCAGTGGCTCGCCACATGAGCCCCCGCATGGGAAGACCCAACTCAGGTGTCTCCCTCCTGAAACCCCTGGCCCCTCTCCCTCCCTTACCCATAAAGTCCTCACAGGAACCTTCTCCCAGCCTAGCAGTGTTAGTCTGTGAAGATTCGGTTACCTTGGAATGTGAGCGTCTTGCTGGAGTCACCTCACGCACTGACGGAGCATCTGGCCTGGCGCCTGTGGCCACCAGTGCCCACCGGGCTGTGGGCTGAGCTGGAAGCAGCTCTGCATGCTCTGGTGCATGGGCCCAGCCATGTCTCCGGTGCTGACCACCTCCCACGTGTGTCCTCAGTTTACAGGAAACGGGCCATGCGAGATGCACAGTGTGCAGAAGAACGAGCACGACAAGACCCCAGAGCACAGCAGGAAGCGCTCCCGGCCCTCGCTCCTGCGCCCCGTGTCTGCACCCGCCAAGGTACCCGTCAGCCGCGCGCAGCCATGCTCGCATGCAGGGGCCCCAGCAAATCGGGCCTTCCCAGCAGGTGGCCAGGGAACAGAGGCCCCAGCAGGGGTTTGGGGCTGGACCTGGGGCTGTGTGAGATTCACCAGCGGTGGGACCTCTGAAAGTCGGCTCTCCTCTAAGGTGGCTGTTCATCCGTTCTCCCTGTCCCATGAGATTATTGTGAAGAAGAGGAGGAAGGAGTGTTACCCCCGCCCTAGGTCCCAAGAAACACGGTGTACCACTCAGTCTCCTTTTCACCCTCGGGACTCTCTCACAGGCAAGGCCACCATGCACATTTGTTCGGGTTGGTCACTGCAGAGCTGAGGGCAGAGATCCTGTCACGCCCTTCACCTGCAGTGGTGGTTTTCCGATTCCATTATTCCTCGTGCGGTTACTACTTGGCTTTCTACTATTGGTGGGAACTTCCTCGTTCTCCCATTTATTTAGTTATGTATATTAGATATGGACTCTGGGTTATAATCCGTTCTAGTGCTGATGTCCATGCTGTTCCACATTTGGCTGGTAGGGTCCTTTTGGCTCCTGTGTCCTTTTGGCATGTCCTCATCATTCTTTCTTTGGTGGGGGAATGGGCGTTCACTCCGCCACCCAGGCTGGAGTGCAGTGGCACAGTCAGCCTTGACCTCTGGGCTCTAGCTGTCCTCTCACCTCAGCCTTCCAAGTAGCTGGGACCACAGGTGTGCGCCACCACACCTTTTTGTAGAGATGAGATTTCGCCGTGTTGGCCAGGCTGGTCTCAAACTCTTGGGCTCAAACAGTCCTCCCACCTCAGCCTCCCAAAGTGTTGGGATTACAGGCGTGAACCCCTGCACCCAGCTCATCCCCATTCTTTAGGCACTTTGGAGATAGTTCTGGATAGACAGTGTTGTCCTTCTTGCCATGATTGTGTGTCCAAGTTCAGGTCCAAGTCCAGCTTAGAGACAAAAGCCTGCAGAGACTCAACACTTGGCTTCTCCAGGGTCTTCCCAGTGCAACCCTCTTCCTGTCCGCTTCTTGTTGCTGTCTTGGCCCTCAGGACAAAACAGGGAGAGGATTCTGAGGTTATCGTAGCCAGGGGCACATCTCCCTTGCCGTTTGGATGCTGTGGCAGTCTTGCCTGTTACCTAAAGCCCTACCCTCTGAGATGGAGATCTCGGATTTGGCAGTGGCGGGTAGCTCCAGAGGTGTCATCTCGGGGATCCTGGGTAACTGGGAGGCTCCTGCCTATCCCTCACTGAGCACCTTGTGGCAGTTCCCAAAGGCAAGCACGGTCTTAGCCTTCTTGTGACTCTGTGACAGCGATGGATAGAGGCCACCGGTGGGAGGCAGAGTTAACTGCATGGAATTTCTCCCCACAGAAAAAAATGAAACTTCGTGGTACCAAAGACCTGTCCATCGCTGCGGTGGGGAAGTACGGGACTCTGCAGGAATTTTCTTTCTTTGACAAGGTGAGGGTGGGCCCTGGCTTCCATCTCAGGGATGCCATGTCCAGCTGGGTGGGCTGATGCTCCCTGGGCCTGCCCCAGGACTGGGGGAGGGGGGCAGGTAAGGTGGGTGCACTCTGAGGATGGAACAGGTGGGACCAGGAGGATGGGCTGGCCCCCAGCTTTCACTGCAGAAGGGTGTGTGGGCCACCTTGAAGCCCAGGCATGTGGTGTGGGCGGGAGTCCACAGTGGGTGCTGAGAGTCCAAGCAGAGTATGAAGACATACACATCTGCCACCCTGCAGCTGTGTAGCTTTTTTGGGTATCAGGGATGATTGTGGGGTTCCCGCCCAGGGTCTGTGGGCAGAGCAAACAAAGTGGCTGTGTACATGGGCTGAGTTGCTGCACAGATCGCGTGCACAGACTGTGTGAATTGCCGCAAGGACCGTGGGCACAAACTGTGAATTGCTGCACAGAGTGCTTTCACAGACTGTGTGAATTGCATGGATCGCATGCGTGGACTGCGTGAATTGCTGCACGGTTGCGTGCACAGGCTGTGTGAATTTGCTGCACGGATCGCATGCATGGTCTGTGTGAATTGCACAGATCATGTGCACAAACTGTGAATTGCTGCACAGATTGCGTGCACAGACCGTGTGAATTCCTGTGCAGATCGTGTACCCAAACTGTGTGAATTGCTGCACAGATGGCGTGCACAGACTGTGTGAATTCCTGTGCAGATCGTGTACCCAAACTGTGTGAATTGCTGCACAGATGGCGTGTATGGGCTGTGAATTGCAGCATGGCTCTTGTGCCCATGCTGTGTGAATTGCTACACAGATTACATGCATGGGATGTGAATGCTGCACAGATCGTGTGCACAGGCCGTGAATTGGTGCATGGATTATGTGCATGGGCTGTGTGAATTGCAGCACAGATCTCATTTACTTACAGACACAGCTGGTTCCCATGTCGCACACCCATGTGGGTGACTTCCAAGTGAGTCAGGCCCAGAGGCTGAGGAGCAGGGGTTCACAGTGGTCCCTGACTGCTCTCTCCGCAGGTGCGCCGTGTGCTGAAGAGCCAGGAGGTGTACGAAAACTTCCTCCGCTGCATCGCACTCTTCAACCAGGAGCTGGTGTCTGGCTCCGAGCTCCTGCAGCTCGTCAGCCCATTTCTGGGGTGAGCAGCTGACTTCCCGGGGCTCCCCATGGGGGTTCTGTTCCTGTCAGCTCCATCTACTTGGTTTTTAGTTACTTTGTGCTTTACTAAAGTCCTGTTTATTAATTGACGTGATTGAGATAATTATCAATTCCCATGCATTTGTAAGGAGCGATACACCACCTGGGTATCCTCCAGCTGGTTCCTTTAACAGTAACATCTGTAGTCAGTATCCTCACCAGAATACAGGGTCCTCGAATAATGCCTTTTCATTTAACACTGTTGTAACACCGATGAGAAAAAACATTCATTTCTGGTCTGAGTGGAGTTTGCACATTCTCCCCATGGCTGTGGGGATTTTCTCCCGCATCCCAAAGATGTGCATGTTAGGTTAAGTGTAGGTAAAGCGGTGAGTCTCCATGGCCCCAGCCTGAGTGAGTGTGGCGGGGTGAGCGCCCTGCAGTGAGCTGGCATCCTGTCCAGGGTGGGTGCCCCCCTAGTGCTCTGAGCTGCTGGGATGGGGTCCGGCCACCCAAGACCCTGAATTGGGATAATTGGGTAAATCATTATTTTACTTGTTTTTACTCATCTTTTTTATGTGTACATGTGGCTTGCCTTCATTTCAGTGTTTCATTTTAGAAGTGTTTCGATCTCTCTTTAGAAATTCGATGATGGTTTTGTGACCAGAAATATGCTGTAGGAACTTCATTCTTGTTTATGTGTCAATTAGCTTGTGGCAAAATTGGTTTTGTTACACATCTTTTCACTTAAAGTCACAGCTTCCTAAAATCTGTTGATGATGTTGAGTGAGGACTTCCTGTATTGACTCTCACACAACCCCCCGATCTTTCCAGACTCTCCATGTTACTCGTACACGTCTGGTGTGTGTGTTTTTATACAACTTTCTCACTGTGAAGGGTTGTGTATCCGCCGCAGTGAAGATCCTGAATAGCTTCAGGACTGTCAGGGTTCTGGCCTTGACCTTTATCTCCATCCCAAAACCCTGCCTCAGCTGGAGTCTGTTCAAACCCCTGGCAGCCACTTATCTGTTCTCTAGACACTAATGTTACAGTAACGGAACTGTACAGGAGGAACCCTCTGGGAGAAGCTTTTTTTTTTTCCCCCAGCATAATTCCCTGGAGATTCACCTGTTAAATACTTTTTAAAATTCTAACACTTGGGCCAGGCGCAGCAGCTCATACCTGTAATCCCAGCACTTTGGGAGGCTGAGATGGGCGGATCGCCTGAGGTCAGGAGTTCGAGACAAGCCTGGCCAACATGGTGAAACTCCATCTCTACTAAAAATACAAAAACTAGCCGGGCGTGGTGGCGGGCACCTGTAATCCCAGCTACTTGGGAGGCTGAGGCAGGAGAATCGCTTGAACCCAGGAGGCGGAGGTTGCAGTGAGCCAAGATTGCGCCATTGTACTCTGCCTGGGCGACAAGAGCGAGACTTCGTCTCAAAAAAAAAAAATTCTCACACCTAGATCGGGCTCGGATTGGGTATGGTGGCTCACACCTGTAATCCCAACATTTTGGGAGGCCAAGGTGGGTGGATCACTTGATGTCGGGAATTAGAGACCAGTCTGGGCAGCATGGCTAAACCCTGTCTGCTAAAAAATATAAAAATTAGTCGGGGGTGGTGGCACACGCCTCTTGGCCCAGCTACTTGGGAGGCTCAGCTGGAAGGATAGCTTGAACCTGGGAGGTCAAGGCTGCAGTGAGCTGTGATCACGCCACTGTACTCTAGCCTGGGTGACAGAGTGAGACCCTGTTTCCAAAAAAAAAAAAAAAAAAAAGTAACACCTCTGTTGCACAAAGGGAAGCCTCATTAGTGGGTCAGGTCTAAGAGCAGCTTCTAACCCCTGGTGGCCAGGTCAGCCTCAGGAGGGGACTGGGACTGGGTGGAGGGGCCTGGGAGCAACTATGTACACTTGTGTCTGCTCTTGGGCTCACAGGAGTGTGCACAGTAGGGGTAGGCGGGCTTGTGAGCGCTGTGTGAGACCTGGGAGCCAGCCGGGGCCAGTGTTGCTTCCTGCACATCAGCCCTGTGACTGGGGTGTGTCACTTGGGCAGTCTGAGACTCTGTTTCCTTGCTGTAAAATGGGGATAGTGAGTGTACCAACCTACGTGGAGTTCCCGAGAGCTGCAGGTGGGTACTACCTGCAGGGCCCTTCAAATACAACAGAATCTCACCAATAAAAGGAAAAGAGAGGTTTTTTCCGGCAGAAGGAAATGATGTAAGTCACAAACTTGGATCGACCTAAAGAAAGGAAGAGCGTCGAGAAAAATAACACGTGAAGTTTTTTTTTTCAAGACAGAGTCTTGCTCTGTTGCCCAGGCTGGAGTGCAGTGGCACAATCTTGGCTCACTGCAACCTCCACCTCCCGGGTTCAAGCGATTCTCCTGCCTCATCCTCCCGAGTAGCTGGGATTACAGACGTGCACCACCATACCTGGCTAATTTTTGTGTTTTTAGTAGAGGTAGGGTTTTGCCGTGTTGGCCAGGCTGGTGTCGAACTCCTGACCTCAAGCGGTCTGCCTGCCTCGGTCTCCCAAAGTGCTGAGATTATGGGCATGAGCCACCATGCCTGGCCACGATTCTTTTTTTCAATGGTTCTCGCACATGGTGGGTGCACAAGTTACGTGATCAGCCCATTCAGTCCTTCCTTAACCCTTTTCCCATTTACCCCAAGGATAGTGGTTGACGGCACTTGCGGCTGCAACATTTACCCCGAGATAACTTTGCCATGAAGCATCTCATTTTTATTACTGTTTTTGCATTGCTCTCATATCAACTTTGGAAATAAAAGATACCATTTTATGTGTAGCATTCTGCTTTTAGTAGTGATATTTCCAGTTACAAAATATAGTAATTCTTGATCACTGAAAATGTCAAATCTTGGAAAATATAGCATTCCTACGTTTGATGTTAACATTGTTCTCAAACAGTTGTTTGCCAAAGATTCATTTGATGAATCTGACTGTTCCAAAATAGACGATTCTGGTGATTCAGATGATTCTGATGTTCTGTTTAGAAATAACTCCAAGAACAGTTTTTATATTTTACTTTCACATTGAAAATCAGATTTGCTTCAGCTTCAAAGAGTGTGTTTATGTAAAATTAAATGAGCGCTGGCAGTAGGTTGGACTTTTTTTTTTTTTTTTCTAAATGGGAAAAAGTTAAATCAACCCTGGGGACAGGTGCTGTGTGAGCCCTTTTGCGTTAACTTAAAAAATATATATGTGTGTGTGTGTGTGTGTGTATACATTTGTTCATTCGTTTTGAGACAGTTTGCTCTGTTACCCAGGCTAGAACTAATGGAAAATAGGTTCAAGGCTGCAGTGAGCTATGATCACGCCAGTGTACTCTAGCCTGGGTGACAGAGTGAGACCCTGTATCAAAAAAAAAAAAATTACTCTGTTGCACAAAGAGAAGCCTCATTAGCAGGTCAGGTCTAAGAGCAGCTTCTAACCCCTGGTGGCCAGGTCAGCCTCAGGAGGGGACTGGGACTGGGTGGAGGGGCCTGGGAGCAATGGTAATGTAATGTAAAATAAAGCACAGACCCAAGAACCCACATGGCCAATAAATGGCTTGAACCTTTATTAAGCAGTCACCCATTTGCCCACCACCCCCCTCAAAAACAGACTCCAGGAGCCCCCCATGTACCGTTCCAGTCCCTGCTCATCTCATTGCAAGAGTGTCCTGACTTCAGGAGTGACCACCTCCTGCACTAATGAAGGTGCAGCCACCCAGGTGGGCACCAAATACATGGCTCAGTCTCACCCCCATCCGGGTTTTGTTTCCTTCCTTCCTTCCTTCCTTCCTTCCTTCCTTCCTTCCCTCCCTCCTTCCCTCCCTCCCTCCCTCCTTCCTTCCTCTCTCTCTCTTTCTCTCTCTCTCTTTTTCTTTTTCTTTCTTTCTTTCTTTTTTTTTTTTCAAGACAGAGTCTCACTCTGTCGCCCAGGCTGCAGTGCAATGGTGCGATCTCGCCTCACTGCAACCTCTGCCTCCTGGGTTCAAGTGCCTCTCCTGCCTCAGCCTCCCGAGTAGCTGGGACTACAGGCGTCTGCCACCATGCCCGGCTAATTTTTGTATTTTTAGTAGAGACGGAGTTTTGCCATTTGGCCAGACTGTTCTCAAACTCCTGGCCTCAAGTGATCCGCCTGCCTCGGCCTCCCAAAATGCTGGGATTACAAGTGTGAGCCATGGTGCCCAGGCCCTGGGTTTTGTTTTCTAATACGTCTCACCTCTGGTTCCCTCCAATTCTAGTCCTTACTATCTCTATCCTTATGCCCCTCTACCTGTCCCTGCCCGTTATTTCTGTGATATTAGCCTCCCAGGTTTGCTCACTCATTTGGGGATGCACAGGAGGATCACCGTGGCCCAGGATAGCTGCTTGATTACAGTCTCGATTCCTCCCTAGTCACAGCCTCGAGTGATGAGCTGCTTTCATATCATCTTCCCAAGGGTACCAATTAAGTCCTTTCCTTCCTTTCTTTTTTTTTTCTTTTAGCATCTTAAGTAATTCATAAAGTTAAAACATATTTGATGCATTTCAATACAGTTCCTAGTTATTTTAAAGGTGAGGGGCCAGGCATGGTGGCTCATGCCTATAATCCCAGCACTTTGGGAGGCCGAGGGGGAAGGATCACTTGCATCCAGGAATTTAAGACCGCGGCCTGGCACAGTAGCTCACGCCTGTAATCCTAGCACTATGAGAGGCTGAGGCGGGTGGATCACCTGAGGTCAGGAGTTCAAGACCAGCGTAACCAGTATGGTGAAACCCCATCTCTACTAAAAATTTTAAAAAATTAGCCAGACATGGTGGCCTGTGCCTGTAGTCCCAGCTACTCGGGAGGCTGAGACAGGAGAATTGCTTGAACCCAGGAAGCAGAGGTTTCAGTGAGCTGAGATTGCACCACTGCACTCCAGCCTGGGCAACAGAGCGAGCTGTCTCAAAACAAACAAAAAAACTCAACCAGCCTGGGCAACATAGTGAGACCTCGTCAGAAACTAGCCAGAAGTGGTGGCGTGTACCTGTAGCCTCTTGGGAGGCTGAGGTGGCTGGATCACTCGAGTTTCGGCAGAGCCCTCATCTCACCACTGCACTCAGCCTGGGTGACAGTGTGAGACCCTGTCTCAAAAAAATAAATAAATAAGGAAACTGAGGCTCAGATCAAATGCCTCTGACTTACCCTAGGACAAGCACTCATAGGTGAGCTGAGCGTGCTGTTAGGTAGCAGCCGGGGTGCTCCAGCCCCAAAGCCAGCCCTTTGCATGTTCTCTGCCTTCTGGGCACAGTGGCTGCTGGGCGTAGCGTAAGCAGGCGCGTGCTGTCAGGCTGGGCTTCGATGTCTTTTGTTTTTTTTTTTAACCCAGCATTTCTTGGAAGTGTTTCAGCATCAGATGTGAACCCATGTCCTCATTTTTAAGCAACTGTCCCTTACCAGGGTCTCAAACGATGGGCGTTTGTCTCTAGTCCTCCCTGTCAGTGGTGTTGACATCAAATGCTCCTGAGGTTACGACCCTCGCGGGTCAAGCTGAGCTCATCAGAAGGCCTTTCCCTGGTGGTCCCGGGCATGCACGTGTTGGGGTGATCTTTTCAGTGGGTTTTCTTTCTTGGGCCGCTGAAGGTCTGTAATCGCCCTGAAGAACAGCCCGGAGCAGGATGGTGCTACTCTAGTCTCAGGCAAAACGGGGGCTCCTGGGGTCTGTTTGTGACGTGGGTGGTGGGCACACGGGTGGGCCTTTTCTATGGACGTGGAATGCACATTCACCTTGAGTCGCCTCCACTGGGCTCAGAATCCAGCACTCTCTGAGCCTGGGTCCCACCTGGGACAGGGGGCCCCCAGGGGCTGTGTGTGGAGCTGGTGTTGGCACCTGCGCCCAGCGGGCCCATGACCACCCTGGGTTGGAATTGGGACTCAGCTTCCTACTAGCCAAGCGAGCCTCAGTGTCTTTGTAAAATGGCCATACCTCCCTCCTGGGTTTGTCAGGAGGTTAGAGGGGAAGACAAAAGGAATATGAAAGGCGAGAGTCTGAAAGGCAAGATGCTGAGCAGATGGTCAGTGCCGGGACAGTCAGCTGTTCTTGTTTCCATGTTTCGGCAGCAGAGACTCACACAGGGACGGGCGTTAGGGGAAGGGTCTGTATGGAGCAAGGTCTGGGATGAAAGCGGACCTCTGCGTGTTCTTGACACAATGCTTGGTTGGGTTAGGAACATTCACGTGGCTTTCCTCTGCGTGTTCAACCTGCAGTCAGGTGCTCAGCTGGGCTGGGCGGCTGAACACGGCCCAGGGAACTGCCCCTCGCAGCTGGCAGCCACATGGCAGCCGGGCGAACTGGGTTCAGCATTCCCTTCTAGCGATCCTGATTTGTGTTTATCCCAGCAGTAGCCTCAGGCATCTCTGCAGCATTTTCGTCGGTATCTTTCCTCCCTACGTTTCCATTGGCTTGTGGGTTTTCCTTGTGAGCGCAGTTGGCATAGGGTTCTTAAATACGTGGCACGACGGAGGCCACATCAATGAGGGGGACATCATTATGGGAGGGTGGGCTGGGTGGCTGGGTGACTGCAGGATTGTGGCACCAGCAAAGTAACTGCACCTTTTTTTTTTTGTAGGATCTGATGTTACTGCTTAGAGACGGGATCCCGCTGTGTTGCCCAGGCTGGTCTCAAACTCTTGAGCTGAAGCGATCTTCCCATCTTGGCCTCCTGAGTAGCTGGGATTCCGGGCACACACCACCAGATCTGATTTTAAACAGAAATCCAGTTGGCATTGTAGAGTCGTTTGCATTAAAGCCTTCCTATCGTCAACCACAGCCATGACCTGATGACTTTCAAGCATGTGTCCAGAGAGGGGTTCACAGAGAGGAGTCTCCCTCATGAGAGGGGAAGACTGTAGATCAGAGATAGGCAAACTTGATCTCTGAGGGGCCAGACGGGCTATGTGGAGATGATTCATACCTCTCTTGTGCAGGCCACAGGCAGTGCGTACACAAGTGGACGTGACTGTGGGCCAGTGAAACTTTATTTACGATGGGATGGCTGGGCATGGTGGCTCCTGTCACCCCAGCACTTTGGGAGGTTGAGGTGAAAGGGATCACTTGAGGCCAGGAGTTCAAGACCAGCTTGGACAACATAGCAAGACCCCATCTCTACAAAAATTTTTAAAATTGGCCTGGCATGGTGGCTCACACCTATAATCCTAGCACTTTGGGAGGCCAAGGCGGGCGAATCTCTGGAGGTCAGGAGTTTGAGACCAGCCTGACCAACATGGTGAAACCCCATCTCTACTAAAAATAAAAAATTTACAGGTGGTGCGTGCCTGTAATCCCAGATACTCGGAAGGCTGACAGGAGAATAGCTTGAACCCAGGAGGTGGAGGTTTCAGTGAGCCGAGATTGTGCCATTGCACCCCTGCCTGGGCGACGAGTGAAACTCTGTCTCAAAAAAAAAAAAAAGAAATTAGCTGGGCGTAGTGGCACATGCCTGTGGTCCCAGCTATTGAGGAGGCTGAGGTGGGAGGATCTCTTGAGCCCAGGAGTTTGAGGTTGCAGTGAGCTGAGATCATGCCACTGCCCTTGAGCCTGGGCAACAGAGTGAGACACTGTCTCTAAAAAAAAAAAAAAGAACCAAACCAAACAAAACACAGGCAGTGGGCAGACTGGCTGTGGCTTGCCGCTCCCTGGCCTCTTCCAGTCAGGGAACGTCATGGGCTCCAGCTTCTGCCAGTTCAAGTCATCTTTTCTGGTGTATTTCAAAGCCTCCCTGTGAGTATGGGGTCAATAGGCACAGGAAGGGACCTGGTGTGTGACAGAGGGGTGGGAGGCCCATTCATTCACACACCTCAGGACTTGTAGTGACTTCCTGTGTATTGGATTCTTCCGCCTCTCATTTGCGTCCATGATGTTGAATTCTGACTCTGTTTAAGCTGTAATGTCCACATGAAGCCATTCTAAAATCTCCAGATCCCTCTCAGAAGGCCCAAGGGATGACCAGTTACCATTTTTCTTTATCTTTGAAGGAAATTTCCAGAGCTGTTTGCACAGTTCAAGTCCTTCCTAGGGGTAAAAGAGCTGTCCTTCGCGCCACCCATGAGCGACAGATCCGGGGACGGGATAAGCCGGGAAATCGACTATGCATCTTGTAAGCGCATAGGATCCAGCTACCGGGCACTCCCCAAAACCTACCAGCAGCCCAAGTGCAGCGGGAGGACGGCCATCTGCAAGGAGGTAGCGCTCCCTGGGGCTTACATGTTCGCTGACATGGTGCATCCCCCACCCCTCCCCAGCAAACACCCAATACCCCCGTTTTGAATGAAATGCTGTGTGCTCAGCCCTCCTGAATGTTGGGTTATGGGTGGTGCTGGGATGTGGCCCAGCAAAACCACCTGAGCAGAGACAACAGTGTTGTACCCTGCTGGTAGTTTTGGCAAAACACAGAGTGTCAGGGATAATGTGGAGTTCACTTATTCATCTGTTATTTGAGTTAGGTTTATTGCTGCCATGATTCTGCTCCGTCCCGGGCTCACTGACCTCAGTGTGTTTCTGTTTAGCTTGACCATTGGACACTTCTCCAGGGTTCGTGGACAGACGATTACTGCATGTCCAAGTTCAAGAGTACCTGCTGGATTCCAGGATATAGTGCAGGGGTCAGCAAACTCTGGCCCATGGGCCCTGGCCCGCTGCCTGTGTTTGTAAATAAAGTTTTATTGGCACACAGACACAACCATTCATTTACATATTGCCTGTGGCTGCTTTTCTCACCACAAAGGCAGAGTTGAGTATTCATCCGGGATGGCCTGCAAAGTCTGAGATAGTTGCTCTCTGACCCTTTGCAGAGAAAATTTACCAATATCTGAAATGAAATCAGCCCTCCATATCTGCAAGTTCCTCATCTGTGGTTTCAACTAACCATGGATTGAAAATATGTGGGGAGAGAGAAACCAAAAAATAACAGTACAGCAATAAAGCGTAATCCACATTTTAAGAATGCAGTGTAACAATGATCTACACAGCATTTACATTGCATTAGGTATAAGTATTCTAGAGATGATTTTGCATAGGTTATATGCAAATAGGATTCCATTTGACATCAGGGACTTGAGTATCTGTGGATTTGGGTCTCCAGGGGTGGTTCTGGAACCAATCTCCCAGGATACCAAGGGAGTGTTCACTTGACCAAAGTCATGTTTTCCCTTAAAAACTTGATTCACCTTCCCATTTGTATAAGGCAGTTGCCTATCATATAATCAGGATTGTATTATGTATCTTGGTACTTTGTACACTGGCTAACAGTAAATCTTAGCTCCTGGGGCATGCAGCGCCGTTCATGGCGTTTCCTCTCGATGCAGGTACTGAATGACACCTGGGTCTCCTTCCCCTCCTGGTCTGAGGACTCCACCTTCGTCAGCTCTAAGAAGACACCGTATGAGGAGCAACTTCACCGCTGTGAGGACGAGCGCTTCGAGGTGTGTGTGCTGCTATGGCCAGGCCCCCCGGCACATGCCTGTCCCCCTTCTCCACAGGACATGCGTCCTGATCCTCCTCCACTGTGCCAGTCTCCTTTTAGGAGCAGGGATTGCAGCACATTCCAGCAGCTCCTGGAAGCTTCCTGCTGGGTCTTGCTGGCCTCTGGGCTGGCTGCCAGATGGCACTTTTTTTTTCTGTTTAAAAATTTTGTTTGGACTGGGTGTGGTGGCACACACCTGTAATCCCAGCACTTTGGGAGGCCAAGGCAGGTGGATCATTTGAGCTCAGGAGTTTGAGACCAGCCTGGGCAACATGGTGAAACCTCATCTCTACCAAAAATACAAAAATTAGCCGGGCTTGGTGGCGGGTGCCTGTAATCCTAGCTACTCAGGAGGCTGAGGCAGGAGAATTGCTTGAGCCAGAGAGGCCGAGGCTGCAGTGAGCCGAGATCAAGCCACTGCACTCCACCCTGGGCAATAAAATAAAAATAAATTTAAATTACGTTAAATAAACTTTTATTTATTTATTTATTTTGCTTGCCCTGTCTCCCAGGCTGAAAGTGCAGTGGCACAATCATGGATCATTGCTGCCTTGACCTCCCAGGGTCAAATGATCCTCCCACCTCAGCCTCCTGAGTAATTGGAACCACAGGTGCACACTACCATGCCCAGGTTGTTGTTGTTGTTTTAACTTTTTTTGTAGAGATGAGGTCTCACTATGTTCCCCAGGCTGGTCTCACACTCCTGGCCTCAAGCGATCCTCTTGAGTAGCTGGGATTACAGACACACCACCATTCCTGGCTAATTTTTGTATTTTTAGTAGAGACAGGGTTTCACCATGTTGGTCAGGCTGGTCTCGAACTCCTGACCTTGTGATCTGCCTGCCTCAGCCTCCCAAAGTGCCAGGATTACAGGCGTGAGCCACCGCACCGGGCCATAAATTTTTTTAATTAGCCAGGCATGGTGGTGCACACCTATATTCCTAGCTACTTGGGAAGCCAAGGTGGGAGGATCGTTTGAGCCCAGGAGGTTGAGGCTGCAGTGAGCTGTAATTGTGCCACTGCACTTCAGTCTGGGTGACAGAGCAAGACCCTGTCTCCTACACACACACACACCACCCCCCTCCAAAAATCCTCTGCGCTCTGAGGTCCCAGGCCCCTCCCTGAGGCCTCTTGAGTTCCCCAGTGGCTGACCCCTTCCTGCCTTCCTTTCCATAGTTAGACGTTGTCCTGGAGACGAACCTGGCCACGATCCGCGTGTTGGAAAGCGTGCAGAAGAAGCTCTCTCGGATGGCGCCCGAAGACCAGGAGAAGTTCCGGCTGGACGACTCCCTCGGGGGCACGTCGGAGGTGATCCAGCGCCGTGCCATCTATCGCATCTATGGCGACAAGGCCCCGGAGATCATTGAGAGCCTCAAGAAGAACCCCGTCACCGCTGTCCCTGTTGTCCTGAAAAGGTGCCCTGCGGCATCCCGCCTTCCCTTCCCTTCCCTTCCCTTCCGTGCCGCAGGGAGCCCCTGGAGAGCTTGTTAGTGCTGTTTGTCAACAGGGGTAATCTCCAGGGGAGGTCTCAGGCCTAGGGCTGGCTTCCTGTATTTCCCAGTCTCCCACTCCTGAGAGGAGAGCACTGTGACCTTCTAGGACTTTCCACCTTGCACATAATCACATCTAGACATCTAAACTGCTTTAAGAGTCAGATGCAACCACTACACTGTGGCTTGCATTTTATTTAACGCTGCATCTCGGACACCATCTGGTGCTAGTGAACAGGTATTTATCAAGTGGCCACTTTAAGGCAGGTGCAATGCTTGGCCCTGGGGTTACGCAGCTGAGTGAGGCAGACCCAGTCCCTCTCCTCTTGGGACTCACAGCTGAGCAAGGGACCTGAGTGGCTGAGCTAGCAGCCATGCGGAGAGTGCTGGGTGCCTGGGAGGAGGCGGAGGACCCAGGAAGCTGGCCACATTGGCTCTGTAAGGCCATCACGCCCTTCCTCTGACGTGCACAGAGCCCACTGCATAGACTAGGCTGGGAGCTGGCTGGGCTTGGATCCTGGGCCCCCAGTCAAGTCCCAGAGGAAGACAGGCCAGCCCTGGGATGCTTCAGGGAGGATGCCCTGGCTTGTCCCTGGTGCTGACCCCTCTTCTCCCCACAGGCTGAAGGCCAAGGAAGAGGAGTGGCGGGAGGCCCAGCAGGGCTTCAACAAGATCTGGCGGGAGCAGTATGAGAAGGCGTACCTCAAGTCCCTCGACCACCAGGCTGTGAACTTCAAGCAGAATGACACCAAGGCCCTGCGCTCCAAGAGCTTGCTCAACGAGATCGAGAGCGTCTACGACGAGGTACAGCCTTCCCTAGCCCTGCCGGCTGGCGGGGGTGGGATCCTGGCTCTCCCGACCGCCAGGTCTGTGCCTCTGTTTCCCTGGTGCTTAGGTGGGGTAGCGGCATTGCCCTTTCAGGGGTGTGTCGAGGCGAGGGTTCATGTCTCTGTGATGCCCAGCCTGCGGCCTGCCCTAGGAGAACCAGCAACTCTGCCATTGTCTGTTTGTTTGTTTAGAGGCAGAGTCTCGCCCGCTCTGTCGCCCAGGCTGGAGTGCAGTGGTGCGATCTCAGCTCACTGTAACCTCCACCTCCCCGGTTCAAGCGATTCTCCTGCCTCAGCCTCCCGAGTAGCTGGGACTATAGGCACGTGACACCACACCTGGCTAATTTTTGTATTTTTAGTAGAGACAGGGTTTCACCATGTTGGCCAGGCTGGTCTTGAACTCCTGACCTTGTGATCCACCCGCCTCGGCCTCCCAAAGTGCTGGGATTACAGGCGTGAGCCACCGTGCTCGGCCAACTCTGCCGTTGTCTGGAGAAATCTCTGTCCCTCCTGTGGGACAGTGACGGACTTCAGCTTAGATGGCAGGTGGCAGCAGCCTTCATTTCTTTCTTGCCGACTATGCCCGGCACTGGTGTTAGCAATGCAGAAGGAGTCATATATCATCTGACCTCACTCCTGAACCTGACTCTGCTGCGTCATTATTCTGATTTTATCAGTGGGGAAACCGAGGCACAAGAGGTTGCATTTGCCTGGGCTGGTCGCAGAGGGCCAGGGCTCCGAGTCAGTGGGTTCGAGGCTTTCGGCTGCACGTCCTCACTGCAGGCTCACAAGGCCTGAGTTACAGAACCAAGGCCAGCGGGACCCTCAGGTTGCCAGGAACTGGGCCTGTTAGTGGCTGTGCGTAGGGAGTGCCTGCCTGCAGGATCCTGAAGGGGGAAGCTTGGCAGGGTGTTGGGCATAGTGACAGCCAGCTGTCGGGAAGGTCCTTGGACACTCTGAGGAGGTGGCTGGGGAGGGCACGCTGCTCCCCAGGCAGTGCCCAGATCACGGCACGGGTTGCATTGTCAGCCTGGTGCCCACCTGGGCAGGGGGTGGTGCCTCACCTGATTTGGTGTCTTGCTCCCGTCACTGCACAGTGAGCGGTCGCTCCTTTTACAATATAGAAACGGAATCCACAGGAGCCAGGCTGCTGGCCCAAGGCCTCTCCCAGAGCCTGTGGGACTGTGGGGACCCCCTTCCCTCCCACCTCCCTCCCCATGGGCCACCCTCGCCCCAGGCCTACCCACAGCCACTCTGGCTTCCTCACTCTAGTCCTCGGCGGATCCCCAAGCCCAAGACCCTGCATAGGTTCTGTGGGTCTGTAGTGTCTGCAAAGTGCAGATGATGAAGTAGCCCTGGAAATCCACCAATGAGACCCCGAGTTCCTGGGTCCCTCCCTGGGGCTGGGGCTGATGAGGCAAGGGGCACCAAGGTTGGCCCCCTGGCCTGACGGATCTCTGCACATGCAGGTCCTTGATGAGTTCCAAAGTCAGACCCCCATTCCATCACACAGTTTACAAAGCATGGTTACGGGTCACAGACATGGGGATCGTGCTTCAGAGGGGACTGTAAAGGAATTTTCAGGGTTTATGGCATAAATGAGACCTGGGGGACTTAGGAAGCGGTCAGAGGGCGGAGGTCACACTGAAGAGCCCGGAACAGGGCTGAGCGTGCAGACTCCTAGGAACCGGCTCAGCGTGCTTGGCCCCACCAGCCTCTGCGCTGCCCTGCAGGGGAGGAGGAAGGGAAACCTCAGGCTGCTGGGAGACCTGGTCCTTCCCCTGGGAGCCTGCAGAGATGGCGTCCATGCTCACTTTCCCCAAGAGCCCCAGTGCGTCGGCCTCCCTGCCTCCCTCCCTGAGGGGTTGGGGCTGGGCACTGGGTGCCAGGACGGTGGTGTGGGAGGCTGGAGGAAGGGGTGATTGTCTTAACGGTGTGAGGGAATGAAAGTCGTGATCTGGATAAAGACCAAGGGGAGGGGTGAGCCTGGGACAGGGTTTTCCAGGGAGCGAGAGCAAATGGGCATGTGCAAAGGCCCCGCACACACAGGAGGGAGCTCGGCGCCCTGAAGCATCGCAGGAAGGAGCCTGGGGGCCGTGAGGCTGGAGGGGCTATGGAGGGGCACCCCAAGGGCTAGCATCTTCTGAGGGGCAGTGCCTCAGGAGTGTTAGTTGAGGTGACCATGCTCCTGTGGGCCAAGTCGCCCTGGACCCAGTGAGGAGAATGGTTGGAACAGGCTGGTGAGAGCTGGTGGGAGGGCTGGTGACATGACGGTGGTAGCAAGCACGTGCAGGGGCTGGTGGGTGACAGCAGCGGAGGTGGGGACTTGGGGACGATGGGCGTGCAGGGCTTCAGATGTGAGCAGTTGCAGGCCTCCTGGGTAGTAGATGGAGGGCAGCGGCAGAGAGGTCACGGCTCACCCTGTGCCTCCTTGACCTCATCGATAGCGTGGTATGGGCAGCCCCGGTCAAGCTGGAATCAGGCGCCACCGTTGCTGTCAGTAGGAGGAGGTCAGCCTCAGAGGTTTCCCCATGCTGAGCCACAGCGCCCCCATTCTGCCCTAGAGCTGGGCTGAGCGACAGACCCAGGCTTGACGCTGTCAGACCCCCTGTGAACCCTGCCCCATATCTCAGAATCCTCTCGGCTCCTCCGACTGGGTCCCAGGATGACTTGGGTCTGCCTTGCTTCCGGAGAGGGAACCAGGGGCACGTGGGGCTGCACAGGAGGTTGAGGCAAGCGACCCGCCCCCCAGGCCTTGCCTCTCCCCAACGTTGGCCACCCATCCTGCTCCGGGCAGCACTCGTCCACCTTGGTGGCCCAGTTAACAGCGACTTGTGAACGGGCACGGGGGGTCCTCTGGGTGCTGGGTGGCTTTCCGTCTCATGGCCGCCCTTTCCCCCACAGCACCAGGAGCAGCACTCGGAGGGCCGCAGCGCCCCCTCTAGCGAGCCACACCTCATCTTCGTGTACGAGGACCGACAGATCCTGGAGGACGCAGCAGCGCTCATCAGCTACTACGTGAAGCGGCAGCCGGCCATCCAGAAGGAGGACCAGGGCACCATCCACCAGCTGCTGCACCAGTTCGTGCCCAGCCTCTTCTTCTCTCAGCAGCTGGACCTGGGCGCCTCTGAGGAGTCAGCCGACGAGGACCGGGACAGCCCCCAGGGGCAGAGCACAGACCCCAGCGAACGGAAGAAGCCGGCGCCAGGACCCCACAGTAGCCCCCCAGAGGAGAAGGGGGCCTTTGGGGATGCCCCGGCCACTGAGCAGCCACCCCCGCCACCCCCACCGCCACACAAGCCTCTGGACGACGTCTACAGCCTCTTCTTTGCCAACAACAACTGGTACTTCTTCCTGCGCCTGCACCAGACCCTGTGCTCCAGGCTGCTGAAGATCTACCGCCAGGCGCAGAAGCAGCTCCTGGAGTATCGGACCGAGAAGGAACGGGAGAAGCTGCTGTGTGAGGGCCGCAGGGAGAAGGGCAGCGACCCCGCCATGGAGCTGCGGCTGAAGCAGCCCAGTAAGGCTCCGAAGCCTGCCGGAGGCCCCGGGGGGTGCCTGGGGTTTGGGGTCGCAGCTCATGATCTGACATGTCCTGTTACTTTTCTTCCTGGCTTTTCGTTTTAAGAGAATTCTGTGATTTCAGATGGGAAATTGCAAACAGGAAGTTGCCAGTATAAGACAGAGGTCTCAGGTACCCCTCGCCCAGGCTCCGCCGGCACTGGCACCTGTCCTGGGTGTAGCACCCTCTCCTGACCGGGGAACCTTTGTTTTTCATGGGCCTTCTCGTGGAGCCGTCACGGCCCAGCTCCACAGTGCCCTTTTACTTTCTTTTTTTTTTTTTTTTTTTTTTTTTTTTTGAGATGGAGTCTTGCGCTGTTGCGCAGGCTGGAGTATAGTGGCGGGATCTCGGCTCACTGCAACCTCCACTATCCTGGGTTCAAGTGGTTCTCCTGCCTTAGCCTTCCAAGTAGCTGGGATTACAGGCGGTCGCCACCATGCCCAGCTGATTTTTTGTATTTCTTTTTTGAAATGGAGTCTTGCTCTGTCGCCCAGGCTGGAGTGCAGTGGTGTGATCTCACTGCAGCCTCTGCCTCCCAGGTTCAAGCAATTCTCTGTCTCAGCCTCTGAGTAGCTGGGATTACAGGCACCTGCCACCATGTCCGGCTAATTTTTTTTGTATTTTTAGTGGAGACGGGGTTTCACCATCTTGGCCAGGCTGGTCTTAAACTCCTGACCTTGTGATCCACCTGCCTCAGGCTCCCAAAGTGATGGGATTACAGGCATGAGGCACTGTGCCCGGCCCAATTTTTTGTATTTTTAATAGAGACAGGTTTTCACCATTTTAGCCAACCTGGTCTCAAACTCCTGAACTCAGGTGATCCGGCTGCCTCAGCCTCCCAAAGCGCTGGGATTACAGGCACGGGCCACCATGCCTGGCTCCACAACACTCTCTGTGCCATCCCTGGGTTGCCGGCCAGATTAGGCAGCCTCAGGGAGGGTGGCAGTGAACGCCAGCTACTTGGGTTTCCTGGTGATTCCCAGATTTGCCCCAGGGGTGGCGGGTGAGGGCTGCTGGGCCCCACGGGGGCATTTGTTGGGGCTCTGTGGTGCCAGAGCTTGGCCTGCGTGGCTTTATGCACTCCAGGAGGCATGTGGATGAAGCGGTGTGTCTCCACAGGTGAAGTGGAGCTGGAGGAGTACTACCCAGCCTTCCTGGACATGGTGCGGAGCCTGCTGGAGGGCAGCATTGACCCCACGCAGTACGAGGACACCCTGCGCGAGATGTTCACCATCCACGCCTACGTGGGCTTCACCATGGACAAGCTGGTGCAGAACATCGCGCGGCAGGTGAGCCGGGCCGGGGCGGGGCCGCCCCTGAGGACGCTGGAAATGGCCCTGCCGTCACTTCACTCCCACCTGGGAAGGGGGCCCGTGGTCGGCACAGCAAACCTATCCTGTTTTTTCTTAATCGAGACAAAATTTACATAATGTGAAATTACCCATTTGGATGTTCAGTTTGGTAACATTTAGTACATTCACAATATTGTGCAACCACCACCTCTGTCTAGTTCCAGAACATTTCATCTTTCCAAAAGGAGACCCCATCCCCATCAGCAGCCACTCCCCATTCCCCTGCCCCAAGCCCCTGACATCCAGTCATCTGCTTTCTGCCTCTGGATTTCCCTCGTGCTTCATTCCTATTTATGGCTCTGTAGTAGTCAGTTGCATGGGTAGCTACGTTTCGTTTCTCCGTCTCGGCTGTGGCTGCCTTACAGAGATTGTGAGCACTGCTGCTCTGAATATTTGTGTACAGGTGTTTGTTCTGAGTTCCTGTTGACAAACCGTTCTTGAGGATAAATTGACAACATGGAAAAAACCTTAACCCACTTATCCTGGGGGAGGGTGGGAGTAGCGGTGTTCATCCGCGTTGGTTTTAGTAGTAGCAAAAACCCGGCCCCCGCTGAATGTCAACGCAAGGAAACCGGTCACGTAAACATAAACAGCAGACATCCCAGACGAGCTGGGTGTGGTTCCAGGACGTGGGTCCTGCTTGGTTTTTGCCAGAGTCATTGTTCATGGTGACCTCTGTTTCCTGGTCACCCAGTAAGGCTGTTCGTCATAAAGCGGGGAAAAAAGCTGGAAAAAAATAATGCCATTACTCTCCCACCCAGACACAGTTACAAGAAGCATTTCAGACAGGATGTTTCCTTCCAGGTTTTAAAGATTGCTTAATGCAAGTAAAATACACACGCAGAAAAGTTCCCAAATTTGAAGGGGGCAGATGGATGGGCTTTCATCAAAAGAACCCCTGCCCCTGTGTCCCCACCCAGCCACCTGCCACCCATGGACACTCACAACCCTGATTTCTTCTTCTTCTTTTTTTTTTTTTAAGACAGAGTTTTGCTCTTGTCACCCAGGCTGGAGTGCAATGGCGCGATCTCGGCTCACAGCAACCTCTGCCTCCTGGGTTCAAGCAGTGCTCCTGCCTCAGCCTCTTAAGTAGCTGGGATTACAGGTGCATGCCACCACACCCGGCTAATTTTTGTATTTTTAGTAGAGGAGGGGTTTAACCATGTTGGCCAGGCTGGTCTTGAACTCCTGACCTCAGGTGATCCGCCTGCCTCTGCCTCCCAAAGTGCTGGGATTGCAGGCGTGAGCCACGGCACCCGGCATCACAACCCTGATTTCTACACAGAGGTAGATCCTGGTCTTGAGCCGTGTGTTAACAGAAGCACACAGTGCCCGGCTGCATCCTGGGAGTGTCATTCTGTGAGATTCCTGTGTTGAGATCAACCAGCCAAGGATTCCCAGGAACGACCCCCACTCCGTCCACCTGTCTCCTGAGGACAGGCATGGGTGGTGCCCCGTGGGCGCGTCTCGTGGCCGTCCATGTACATTTCTGCTGCTGCCCTTGGGGTGAGGCAGAGAGAGGTGTGTCTCACTGATGGAAACTTTCAGTTTCCTGGATCACTCCCACAATTGCTGTGCCAGGCCGCACTCCGTGTCCTCCCTGGGGCGTCTCTCCATCAGCTGGGAGCTGTTCGAATCTCGGTGGGCTCACATTAAATTTCCCTGATGGCTCATGTGTGTGGTTGGGGCCTTGTCCTTTCATGGCCGTTGGGACATCTTTTCTCTTGGAAAGCTGTCCACGGTGTTTGTGCCTGTTTCCGTCGAGTCTGCCTTGTTGGTGACTGGGAGGATTTCTATGTCTGGCCACAAGGACTTCGTGAAACCCACAGCTGCGTTCCGACACCGTCACTTAAGCCTCCTCCACTTTCCCTCTGTGTGCCCGAAACAGGTCCCTGCCCATCACCGTCCACAGCAGTGGCCGCTCCCCCAGTGAGGGAGACACGCATGGGGCAGCCTGGAGAGAGAACGCCCAGGGCCCAGCGCACGGTGTTGGGGCAGCGATGAGGGGGATGCCGGGGCCTGGCAGTCTGCCCTCCCAGGCCGGGCACCCCTCATGGGCCATGGCTTTGGGGACAGCAGCCTTGCTTGTGGCACCAGGAGATTGGACCAAATGGTTTATGGAAAGCATTGATTAGTGCTTTAAAAGAATCTCCCGCTTCCATAAACATCTCCTCTAGAACCTGTTAAAAACAAAGCAATGAAAATGGGCTGTCTGGCTGGAGCCGTGGTCAGAGCCTCGTGCTGCCCTGCTGTCCTGGCTGTGGCCTCACCAAACCCCACCTGTAGCTCACTGGGCCAGGTGCTCACCGCGGGCCCCTCCCTGCTGTTTGTAACCTGCCTCGAGGCCATGTCTGGACTCTGCCTCCCTTTATCTTAAAAATTAGCATTGCTGTTTTTCAGCAGTAGCAGTAGGCATTCAGTGGGCACCTGCTGTGTGCCAGGTGCTGTCTGAAACCTGTGCGTGTCCAGGTGGTATTGTATCCATTCACCAAAGCTGCACACGGAACCCCCAGGCAGTGTGGTCCCCTGACCAGGGCCTGGGCTGTGCAAGCGGGTGTTTCACACCAGCCTTGTCTGCCCCACAACCCCTGCTGTTTCCATTCCTTCCTTCTTCAGTGCAAAGGTGAAAGGAATAGCAATGTATTTACATCCAAGCATTTAGGGGAAAGGAACAGCCTGCACTCATACCACCTTCAGCTCATTCCAGGGTTTGCTTTGGAACATTTTTTTCCGTGTCTTTTCTATGTGTTTCTCACACGCACACAGGGTTTGCTGGTCTGGCTTGGTCTGATCTGGCCTGGTCTGTTTTGTTCAGGTCTGGTCTGGTCTAGTCTAGTTTTGGTCTGGTCTGGCCTGGTCTGGTCTAGTTTTGGTCTGACCTGGTCTGACCTGGTCTAGCCTGGTCTGGTCTGGTTTTGGTGTGGTCTGGCCTGATCTGGTCTGGTCTGGTTTGGTTGGGTTTTGGTTTGGTCTGGTTTGGTCTGGTCTGATTTTGCTCTGGTTTGGTTTGGTTTTGGTCTGGTCTGGTTTTGGTCTGGTCTGATCTGGTCTGGTCTGGTTTGGTTTTGATTTGGTCTGATTTGGTCTGGTCTGCTTTGGTTTGGTTTTGGTTTGGTGTGGTCTGGTTTTGGTCTGGTCTGGTCTGGTTTTGATCTGGTCTGGTTTGGTTGGTTTTGGTTTGGTCTGGTTTGGTCTGATCTGGTCTGGTCTGGTCTAATCTGATCTGGTCTGGTCTGGTCTGGTCTGGTCTGGTTTGGTCTGATCTGGTCTGGTCTGGTCTAATCTGATCTGGTCTGGTCTGGTCTGATCTGGTCTGGTCTGGTTTGGTCTGATTTGGTCTGGTTTGATCTGGTCTGGTCTGTTTTGGTTTGGTCTGGTCTGGCTTGGTCTGGTTTGGTCTGGTCTGGTATGGTTTTGATCTGGTCTGCCCTGGCCTGCACACAGCCTGTCAGGATCCTGGTCTTCATCCCTGTGCCTTGCAGTCTCCATCCTGACTTGTTTCTGGCCTTTGCCAACTTCCTCCGTGGGTGAGATGGGGGCTCCTGCAGGAGGCAGGGTGGCCGCACCACCTGCTTTCCTCCTGCCAGTTGCACCACCTCGTGAGCGACGACGTCTGCCTGAAGGTGGTAGAGCTCTACCTGAATGAGAAGAAGCGGGGCGCTGCCGGTGGGAACCTGTCCTCCCGCTGCGTCCGCGCCGCCAGGGAGACCAGCTACCAGTGGAAGGCCGAGCGCTGCATGGCCGACGAGAACTGCTTCAAGGTGAGAGGAGGCCTGGGGCTTACAAGCCGGGAGGCCCAGCCACTCACTCAGCTCTGGACTCGGTCCTGGGTGGACCCTGGTTCAGCGGCTGGGACGTCGGCCCTGCTGCAGAGCCCGGGAGGTACCATTGACCTACAGGAAGCGTCAGGGCTTTGGAAGGGTGGCAAAGGTGGGTGGCGGGTGGCCTTGCAAGCCTGCGCTGTGCCGGCTGGGCTGTCCCAGCAGTTGAGGTTGTCGGCGTCCCTGCTCCGTAGGTGATGTTCCTGCAGCGCAAAGGGCAGGTGATCATGACCATCGAGCTCCTGGACACCGAGGAGGCCCAGACGGAGGACCCTGTGGAGGTCCAGGTGAGGCCCTGGCCCCAGGCCGTGCCACGCACACCAGGGAGCGCCTGAGGGCAGCAGCATGGGGCTCCCACCAGCCAAGCGCGGGCTGAGCAGCATCCAGAGATCCTCCCTCTGCAGACGGCAGGCTCTGCTTGAGGCCTGGTGGGTGGGGTTGCCTCCCTCCCTGCTCCCCCACCAGGCTGTCTTCGGTGCCCCCTCTCCAAAGAGCAGACCGCTCCTCCTGAGCCAGCAGGTGCATCCCAGGGCAGGAGGGGAGCCAGGCCACCTCTCCCTGGCCCCCGACTCCCACGCAGGGCATCCCCGTGGCTGACCTCTGCACCTCCCGTGTCAGGGCTGCATCCTGATCCTAATCCCCAGCAGAGGAGCCACCTGGCCCCAGCTCCCAGTCACAATTTTTGTGGGGACAGATGTTTCCTGCTCACCTCCTGCATCCTGGTGACAGTGAGGCATTGACCCGTGTGTGCCCCCAGGGTGGTCACTGGGGCCTGCAGCTCCCAGCACCTGCTGGCGGGTCCAGTGTGTGTGCACATTACTCAGCTGGCCAACTCCATTCATTTCCTGGGGCTGCCACCGCAGTGACCGCAAACCACGTGACTTCAAACAACAGAAGTCTGTTCCCTCAACGTCCTGGGGGTCAGCAGTCCACAGCCACAGTGTGGGCCAGGCCGTGCTCCTGCCAAAGGTTCTTCCAGCTTCTGGGGGCTTCTGGCACCCCTCACTGTGGCCTGTTTGTGTGAGTCCCGCTGTTGCTGGGTCCTCTGTTGAGAGCTATAGTCCGGGAGGGTCTCCGTCAGGGATCGGAGTCCTCCTCAGCGGCGCTCCTCATGCTCTGGGAATAGGGGGCACAGAAGCCCTGTGAGCTCCTGAACTCAGGGTCTAGAGTGAGAGTGGCCATGGCCCTGCTGTGGGGCGTCACGGGCTGTGTCTCTCCCCGTCTCCAGCACCTGGCTCGGTACGTGGAGCAGTATGTGGGGACCGAGGGCGCATCCAGCTCACCCACCGAGGGCTTCCTCCTGAAACCCGTGTTCCTGCAGAGGTGAGAGGCCCTGAGATGCATGCTCCGTTCCTTCCTGTGGGCCCAGGGAGTGTCCCCTTTGTCCTGACGGGGGCTGGACCATGGCACATTCTCTGGCTGGGAACCCTTAGTAGGCACCTGCTGTGTGCTGAGGTGGGCCCTGCCCTTTTGAGGCTTGTGGTTTGCAGAGGAGGGATTAGTAACCCCAGGATGGTGAGGGGTACGAGGGGAGGGGCCAACCTTACAATGTGACAGTGGGCGGAAGAGCGAATGCCCGGCCTGGAGGGAGACACTGCCAGAGCTGGTGGGGCCAGGCCAGAGGCAGGTGGCTGTGGCAGGACCCTGGACCAACTCAGGTTGGGCTAGGATGGCGCCCCTGGGACCAGTGGGGGCCGCTGGTGGTGTTCAGATCTGGGGGCGTTTCTTCTTGTTTCCATTTGCTTTTCTGTGGACCCCTGGGAGGTAGCACATCTGATGGTCCCAGGCCTAGGGGCTTCCCAGCCTGCAAATCCTCTCACGATGCCGAGAGCGAGCCAGAGTCCATTCCACCTCCTCTCACCCCCAGGAACCTCAAGAAGTTCCGCCGCCGGTGGCAGAGCGAGCAGGCGCGGGCCCTGCGTGGCGAGGCCAGGAGCTCCTGGAAGCGGCTGGTGGGCGTGGAGAGTGCCTGTGACGTGGACTGCCGCTTCAAGCTCAGCACCCACAAGATGGTGTTCATCGTGAACTCCGAGGACTACATGTACCGTCGCGGAACCCTCTGCCGGGCCAAGCAGGTGCCAGGGGAGGCCTGGGCTGCCCCTACACCCCCCCTCCTCACCCCAAGTTCTGGGGCCCTGGGGGTCCAACCTCAGCCGCCCTGACACCGGCCTCTCCAACAGGTGCAGCCCCTGGTCCTGCTCCGCCACCACCAGCACTTTGAGGAGTGGCACAGCCGCTGGCTGGAGGACAACGTGACAGTGGAGGCGGCCAGCCTGGTGCAGGACTGGCTGATGGGTGAAGAGGATGAGGACATGGTACCCTGCAAGACGCTGTGTGAGACGGTGCACGTGCACGGCCTGCCCGTGACCCGCTACCGCGTGCAGTACAGCCGCCGCCCGGCCTCGCCCTGACGTGCCCTCGGCCTTGGTTGCGTTGGGGCCGTTTTCTTGAACGACCTGAGAGGCATCTCCCAGCCCCTCTGCTGCCGGACAGCGCACTCCAGGGCAGGACGCCGCACCTGGTCTCCTGTGGGCCTGCCGTGTGCCAAACCTGAGCTACCTGCACCCGAGCCCTGGGGCTCAGCCCCACCACAGGGGCGGGTGGACGTGCTGGCCGAGGAGCAAGCAATCACGTTTGCGTCCCTGTCCGTCACATGTGCCAAATCCCTGGCAGGCGGGTGGCCCCTGCCCTATGTTCTTACCGTGTCTTGGAAAAGTCACAGGTGACAGCCCTCTTGAGGCCTGCACTTTGGAGGGGGTCCATGTCCAAGAGACCCTGACAAGGAAGGAGTTGAGCCCTGGGTAGGCTTGCTTGAAAAGTGAGTCCTTCTAGAATATTCTCAGAGCTGTCAGAAATGTCACCTGAGGGTTTGGGCATCAGCTCTGCCCGGCTGGTGTTCAGGCCCTCAGTCACTTTGGAAGTGAGAAGAACCCTTTAGCCAAACCTTTGGGATCCCACTTTGAAGTCAAGACCTGGAGTAGGTGGGCAGTGCCTCGGGAGACCCCGCTCTGGATAAGAGACACCCAACCCCAACTCCAGCAGCTGGACTCTGGGGCCACAAGGGGAGGGACCCCAGCCAGCGTTCCCACAGAAGTGTTCCCGCAGAGCTGGCACCACCGCGTTGTGGGGTGGCGGGCCCAGTCGAGTTCATGCAGTGGGTACCCTAGGTGTATGTGTACACGCACAGATATTTATTCTTTTCGCTCTTAGTGGTTGTTATTTCTGCAGCAGCCAAGTCCCGCAGCTCCCTGGGGCTGAGATCTCCTTTTGTGGAACTCCAAGAGCTGCCCTGACAGTCCCACCCACCACCCACGGAGCCCCATCCGTCTGCCTACCCCGGGACCCACATGGCCACTCCAGGGATCGCTGTTATCCTTTCGTGAGGGGCTGAGGCAACTGTCCCATGAAGGCATCCAAGGCTTTCAGTGCCAAGAATCCCAAGTGACTGGGGCTGGGGATCGGTTCTCCAGGCCTCTCTCCCCCCACTGTGAGAGCCCCTGGCCCTGGCCCCTGTGCACCAGTGGGCCCAGAATAACCACCACCCTCACCATCCTGCAACAGCTGGACTCAAGTTTCCAGGAAGTGGAGATGCGTTTCTAGAAGTTCCCTGTGGAACCTGGAGGCTCCGGACGCCTTTGACTCCAGGCTGGGCGATTCCGAGGCCGGCCCGTCCTCCTGGGATCCCCACCCCCGCTCCCCAAGTGTCACGCAGGCACTTTGTACGCATCCCGGTTTTCTAAGAAGGGAACTTGCCATCAGGATTCCTGCACCAGGCCCACGGTCGTCTCGGGCAGAGCCACGTGGGCCCTGGGTGCAGCCGGAGACCCCGCCGAGCCCCTCCTTTCGGTATTCCCATCCCCGCATGCTTCTAGGGAGCGCCTCTTTTCCGTTCTTGAGGAATTTCTGTTCTGGGGCTTGTCCTTCCTTTGCAGCTGTTTTGAATGTAGTTTTCCTTTTCTATTTATTTGCACATTAAAGTTAAAAATTGAATATTGACATCAAGCCATGAGGGTATGTTGGTCTCTTCCTGCGAGAGCCTTGCCGACTTCCTGCCACCAGGTCAGTGGGCGGGACCCACGGGAGCAAGGGGTGGCTGGGTGTGCCCACCCGGGCCCAGGGGAGTCGAAGCCCACCTCGAACCAAGATCATCTCACACCCTGCACCTGCACTGCTGCGACATGGGAGTGTCTTCTAGAATATTCTTTTCCATCTCCATATGCACATTTAGTGGGAATTAGAAGCGTCTCCTTCCCCCGAGTGTCTCTCATGCAGAACCCAATTTAAAGATGATGGTGTTTGCTCTAAGCTTCCCATGCCCAACCTGTCCATCCAGGCCTGCGCCTGCCCACCCGCCCCACACGACCACCCTCCATACTCCATGGGGCCCACCCACCTCCTGGCTTTCACCATCATTTTCTCCTCATCTCCTGCCCCCTGTCTGTGTCCCAGGCCGCACACCTGCCTCCGGGTAGCAGAAGCCCCCAGCTCTGCTATGTCCCCTGGCTGACATGCCTAGAGGGTTCCAAGGCAGAAGTGGCCAGCCCCTCCCCTTCAGTATGGGCTCCTCCATCCTCTGCAGGGACTGTCCTCCCCAACCTCCCCGAAGGGCCATAGCTGCCTCCCAAGGACCCATGTGCTCCCTGCACACCCGAGCTTCCCTGGCAGTTCTGACCCCCACCCCCACCAGAGGGTCAGGGCTCCCGGGGAGTGTGGCAAGCCAGACTGGAGGCTGCCCTGTTTCCTTCTGCCTCGATCCCACAGCTGGGGATGCCCAGGGTCCTCTCTGGGCCCCCAGACTGGCTTTCCTTGGTCAGAAGTGCTGCAGGGACTGGAAAAGGCCGTGCTTGTACCAGGAGAGCGAACAAAGAGCAGATCTCCAAGGTGGCCCCGCCCTGAGGGGTCGACTGCCCTCAAGTAGGCAGGGCCCGTGGCCTTGACAAGGTGATATGAGATGAGATGAGAGAGGTCCCTCGCTGGCCCTGAAGATGTCTCCACTGTGCTGGGGAGGGGACCCCATGGCAAGGGACAGAGAGTGGCCTCCAAGAGCCAAGTGGGACCTCAGAGCCACCACTACCACCAGGACCCAAATTCTGCCCAAGTCCACCTAAGCCCAGAAAAGGCCCCCAAGCAGCAGATAAGGACACAGCCCAGCTGACGCCTTGATCTCTGCCTCATTTGACCCTGAACCAAGGACCCAACCTGCCAGGCCGGACCCCCTGACCCACGGAGAGGTGAGGTCATAGAAGTGTGTGGCTGTGAGCCACGTTCATCACCCAGAGATAGAACAGCAGCGTTAATAAAGCCGCTGTATGTCCAGCACCTCCCCTTCCACCTCCTTCAAGTATGTGGAGGTGGCTGAGGGTCTCAGGAACCCCTACTGAGGGGGGAAATTAAAGAAAGAAAAAATTAAAAAGAGAATTAATCTTTCCTGTATTAGGCTGACTTGTCCCAGAGGCAGCAACGGACACAGCCCAGACCCAGGAAAAGTCTTAATAATACTAAGAAGCCAAGACACAAAGGAATGTGCTCTGGAGCCTCTCCCAGCACTCCCTCAACACGGAGAAGAAAGATTTTCCTTTGTTTTAGGGTATGAGTTTATAGATTCCTGTTCTCTGTAACTAGTGACTTCAAGTATTCTGTTTTATCTAAGCAGTGAAGGTCATAAACCATGTGAGCAGGCCTGAGATATAGCCACCTGGGTGCCATAGTGATGGCCGCGGAATAAGCCATGCTAGGCACTAGGGCAAACCTAGATAATGGCCATCTGGGTTGCATAGCAAGAGTCATGTGTAATCCTGAGTTATGAACCTGTTACAATTTGATGAACTGTCTTTGTCCTGCCTCTGTATCCCTGCTTTCACACCATTGTAAGCCTGCTTCACGCTAACCCACCCCGTTTTTAAAGTGTGTGTAAAAGTCAAGTGCTGTCTTTATTCTAGGCCCAACTTTTATTTTATTTATTTATTTTTTTTGAGACGGAGTCTCGCTCTGTCGCCCAGGCTGGAGTGCAGTGGTGCAATCTCGACTCACTGCAAGCCCCACCTCCCGGGTTCACGCCATTCTCCTGCCTCAGCCTCCTGAGTAGCTGGGACTACAGGCGCCCACCACCGCACCCGGCTAGTTTTTTTTTTTGTATTTTCAGTAGAGATGGGGTTTCACCGTGTTAGTCAGGATGGTCTCGATCTCCTGACCTCATGGTCCGTCTGCCTTGGCCTCCCAAAGTGCTGGGATTACAGGCGTGAGCCACTGCGCCCATCCTCTAGGCCCAGTTTTTAGATGTTGAGTCCGGTGGGTCTGAGTGTGCTCAATAAAGATCCTCCTGTATACACCCCAAGGTCTCTCTTTTCCTCCTGTTTCCACAACACCACATGTGATGCTGACAGAGGGCGCTGGGACAGGGGCTTCCAGTGGGGCCCCAGGAGCATTTATTCTGTTGCTACTGAGGTGTTTGTCTCACTGGCTTTTGCAACATAGAACCAGTGCTTCCTGCCTGATGTCGTCACTTGCTGAGAATGAAGCTAACTACTCCAAACAGCAAACTGAATACCATCTAGCAATTGCGTTCCTTTGTATTTGCCCAAGGGAACTGAAAACTTGGATCCACACAAAAACCTGCACACAGATATATGCAGCCTTATTCACCAGCTCCCAAACTCAGATGCAACCAAGACTTCCTTCAGCGGGCAAACGGATAAACCATGTCACCTCCAGACAACAGGATAGAAAAGGAAATGAGCAGGCTGGGCGTGGTGGCTCATGCCTGTAATCCCAGCACTTTGGGAGGCTGAGGTGGGTGGATCACGAGGTCAGGAGATCGAGACCATCCTGGCTAACATGGTGAAACCCCATCTCTACTAAAAAAATACAAAAAATTAGCCGGGCGTGGTGGCAAGCACCTGTGGTCCCAGTTACTTGGGAGGCTGAGGCAGGAGAATGGTGGTGAACCCAGGAGGTGGAGCTTGCAGTGAGCAGAGATCGCACCACTGTACTCCAGCCTGGGTGACAAAGCGAGACTGCATCTCAAAAAAAAAAAAAAAAAAAAAAAAGGAAATGAGCCACGAGGCTGTGAAGACATGAAGGGGCCAGGCCAGGCGTGGTGGCTCAAGCCTGTAATTCCAGCACTTTGGGAGGCTGAGGCAGGAGGATCACCTGAGGTCAGTTCAAGACCAGTCTGGCCAACATGGTGAAATCCCGTCTCTACTGAAAATACAAAAATTAGCCAGGCATGGTGGCGGGTGCCTGTAATCCCAGCTACTCCAGAGGCTGAGGCAGAAGAATTGCTTGAACCCAGGAGGCAGAGATTTCAGTGAGCCAAGATCGTGCCACTGCACTCTGGCCTGGGTGGCAGAGTGAGACTCTGTCTCAAAAAATAAAAGACACAAAGGCACCTCAAATGCATCTAACTAAGTGAAAGAAGCCAGCCTGGAAAGGCTGCACACTGCATGATTCCAACTATAGAACACTCTGGAAAAGGCAAAAGTATAGAGACAGTGGTTGCCAGGGGGGCAGATGGGAGGAAGGAACCTATAGGTGGAGGTGGATTTTTAGGGCAGTGACACGACTCTGTGTGACACTATGGTCAATGGACATGTCACGACACATGTCCAAACCCATAGAAGGTACAGCACCAAAAGTGAACCCCCATGGAAATGCGGGGTTCCAGAAGACAGAGCCATGTCCACACAGCTTTATCCATGACAACAAAAGCACCACTGTCGGTAAAGGACATAGATAGCAGGGGAGGCTGGCATGTGTGGGGCGGGGTTACTGCTAAATTTCATTGTGAACCTAACACTGCTCTAAAAAGTTTTTTTTAAAAAAGCAATTTGACCCAAAGTCAGTCTCAGGAGGCCAGGGGATGGGGGACAGAACGGGCCGGAGCGGGAACCTGCAGGGACGGGTGCGGGCTGAGGTCTCAGGAATGTGTCTGCACCTCGGTGGTTTCCCTTCTCTTCTTCCCTTCTGGGGACCTTGGCAATCTGGGCTGGCTCCTGGGTCCCGCCTAGGTTTCAGACTCTGCCCCACCTTGAAGTTGGCCAGTCCCTTCTCTCTGTGGCTCCAGGAGTGGAGCCTCAGCCCTTGGTAGGGGGGAGCAAACAAACTCTGATTTGGGGCCCCAGAGAGGAAGCGCTGGGAATCCAGGGGTTGGACAGGCTGGACCCCAAGCACTGCTTCCACCATGGCTGCCTGTGTGACCCTGGGAGTGACTTTCAGTCCTGGTGAGACAGGATCACGGCACCTGCCTCTCAGGCCATTCAACTGGGTTAATATCCCTGCCCAGCCAGGGAATGAGAGGAGGTGGCACCATGTTTGCTGGTGCCCATGTGTTTTTTTTTTTTTTGTATTGTTTTTGTGGTTTTTTTTTTTTGAGATGGAGTTTCACTCTTGTTTCCCAGGTGGAGTGTAATGCTGCGATCTCAGCTCACTGCAACCTCCATTTCCTGGGTTCAAGCGATTCTCCTGTCTCAGCTCCCTGAGTAGCTGGGATTACAGGCACGCACCAGCACACCCCACTAATTTTTGTATTTTTAGTAGAGACAGGGTTTCATCAAATTGGTCAGGCTGGTCTTGAACTCCTGACCTCAGGTGATCCGCCTGCCTCGGCCTCCCAAAGTGCTGGGATTACAGGCATGAGCCACCGCACCCAGCCTGCCTATGTGGCTTCTAACTTGTTCCCTGACCCCGACCTTTTGCTGGGGGCAGTGAAGGCAGGAGACAGTGGAGGCTACAACCAGGAGCTTCTGGAAACCTGAGGGGTTGGAGGACAACGAAATCCAGGACACGCCACTGACTTGCGCCTGTTTGCCATTTTTTCCCCATTTAAAAAAGTTATTTTAAGGGCCAGATACAGTGGTTTACACCTGTAATCCCAGCACTTTGGGAGGCCGAGGCAGGCGGATCACTTGAGGCCAGAAGTACGAGGTGGTGAAACCCCACCTCTACTACAAATACAAATATTAGCCAGGTGTGGTGGCACGCACCTGTAATCCCAGCTACTTGGG